CAGAGAAGAGATGCTCAAATACTTTAAAGAGAAAGCTTGTGGGGACAGGTTGTTAAAATGAGTATTTTGTTATCAACTGATTTAACAGCTTGTTCTTAAAAAACGGGTTAAGGATATGACAGCTATACTAATATAGTAACACTATGCTACAAATTGTTTGTAATTTAATGATATTCTTTATTATATGATCAACATAATCTTCTGAAATCTACACCTTCTCCCCAGCATGGCTGGTATCTACTGCAGTCTATTTATAATTTGCTAATCGCCTTCTACTTAAAAATGCCTCCCTCCCAAAAAAATGCCATAAGTTTTCCTTATTAAAGTTTCGTATATCTGAAACATTATACCGGATCTCCGGTTTCTCCAAAGCAAACAGCTAAGCTTTCCAAGGCAGAAAATTTAGTTTGATTCTTCTGTCAAGCACTATGTAATCCTACAATACATAAGTGAACTACTTAAAGAACTTGAAATTTCAAACATTTTAATTTCTTTTTCTAGAGAAAGATGGCAGCAATAATAAATGCTCCCAAAATTAAAACCAATCAGAAACACCAATGGAGGATCAGAAACTTAACTGCATATATACGTTATATTTAATACAGTATTTTTAGTCGGAAAGTAACACTGTTCATCTCACTGTTCAGCCTATTAAAATATCCAAGATAAGCAAGCAGCTGATACATTCTGTGTAAGACCACAGCTTATCTCTGTCAAGTCATCATGATGACAACAGACTGCATTCTAAATAGTAATTACCCTATATTTTTATTCACTCAAGGAGAGAGAGAAGATTTCATTTCAAATATGACTTTCAAAAGCTTAATTCCCTCTCCAGAACACAGGACTACTAATAATACATAACTTGATGCCAATGCAAAAAAAAAACTCTTTCTAAACCAAGCCTACATATTTTGCTATTTCAGTTAGAATGGAAAAAACCTCCAAGTGATCTTAACTGCATCCATTCTGCCATCTATATTCTTCTCAGAGGTAGTCCCTTAAGTCAAGCGCAGGGGGTTAGGTACTCGTATTAACTTTGAACCCACATCTTACACCCTTGTGTAGCTTTTTGCAAATAGCCTTATTTATGAGGATATCAGATTTGGGGGTTGAGCACATATCCTGTTTCTTTAATTATACAGACACAACAGATACCTTATTTAACCCCATTTAAAAATGTAATGGGAGTACACTCAGGCACCTTTTTTAGGCTACTTAAAAGATTAGAAGACATTTTTAGGCACCCCTGAAATTTTGCCAGCTGTTTAGTAACCAGCAACAAAGTGACTCAGCTACTCCACCATCAACAGTGCCAGGAAATTCTATTCGAAGTGAGCCAAAGCACTTTTACCTTTATCAGAGAACTGGTGCTCTAATGCGTGGAGATCAGGCAGCAGGTGCAAGCAGTTGATGCAGCAATAAGTAAAGAAATCCAACACCACAACTTTTCCACAAAGGTCTTTGTGAAGAGAGATAGGACCTTCAGTGTTTAACCATTGTAGATCTGGAATTCAGAGAACAGTGATAGCCAGTTAGGGGAAGGGTAGGGAAAGGCAGACAATTGGAGTGAATTTGCACATATTTGCACAACATTCCTAGTGCACTTAACCTTAGAGAAATGAAAAAGTTCAACATCCCTTTCTACACAGGTAGAAAAGAAAACCAAAGGTCCTATATTTATCCAACTCATCCAATGATTCTTCATAGAATCACAGAATAGTTTGAATTGGAAAGGACCTTAAGCTCAACCAGTTCCAACCCCCTGCTGCGAGCAGGGATACCTTCCACTAGACCAGTTTGCTCCAAGCCCCACGCAACCTGGCCTTGAACACTGCCAGGGATGGGGCAGCCACAGCTTCTCTGAGCAATCTGTGCCAGCGCCTCAGCACCCTCATAGTGATGAATTAAAAGTTTTGCTATTAATGAGATTTAATGTAATACATTAAATGTATTAAATGTATAAAATTAATGTAATTAATGAAAGTGTAGTGTATATACTTCAATAGATACCTTTAAAGTGAAAGAACATGCAAGCCTCAGAACCATTTTTATACATTTAAAAACATGATCTATTTTATTCAACCCCTAATAATGTCATATGGGTAAACAATTATTTAAAACCCACATAAATGGTAGTGAACTAAAGAACTGTTAAACTCTTAGTTATTTTCCAACATGTTTGTAAAGGACTCCGAAAAGAGATGACTGAAATATTTTTGTGGTTACAGTTTTGATCCTGATTTTCAAAGTCTGAGGTGACAGGTATAAATTAATCCCTTTACATGGGAAGAAATACAGCCTTTTCAGATACACCTAGCAGCAATACGCATCATTTATTTTAACCACTTGATCTGAAGCATGAAAGCATCCTTTTCTCACAGGTAACTGCTATTCCTCTGATCGCATTAGAAACTGATCTCAACCTAAGAAATAAATATCCTGTAATATAGTCTGCCATTTTTATCACTTATCACTTCTGAAAATAAAGGGCATAGGGAAAGACAGATGTGATGTAAGGCAAAGCTGAACTAAATTTCTGAAGGCCTATTTAAAATAACTGTACTCTGGCTAATCTAAAAATCCTCAAAACTTCCACTCTGACAGTTTCAGCACATAAAGTTCTTACTGTCCCAGGAGAGGTTATTGCTGATGAAGCCAGCAGGAGGCTTGTTTACAGTTTCACTAGGAGAAGGATTGAGCTCTACCTCCGTATGTTTATAAACAGAAATGCATGCATACACTTTCAGATTTAGTGACTGTAACAATGAGCAATTATATGCATTACTTCCATGGTATAAGGGTTCTGCTGTTTACATTTTGAAAAGAGTGGAGTATTTATTTTCTGGCATTGTTCCTCTTTTCACTAGAATTAAAATACCTTTCATGAAGTATACTGAAAGTAAAAAGCATCAACTACCTATGTGAGCTCTTTTCAGAGGAGAAAATAAGCTTTGGCAGAATACAGAAACAGTGTGAAATACAAAAGTGAAAATTCAACTCAGAGGTCCAAATCTAGACAGAAAGAGCATTCACTTTGCTCGAATGTTTACAAGTCAGAATTTGTTCCCATAACACAAGCTTACCCTCTGAGATCTCTGCTTTGCAGAGAGATGTGAACAGATCTGCAGAGAGCCTCACTGAAGTTAAAAGAACCCCAGCAGGACTTGAAAGATCTTACAAGACTTTGATTTCACATTTAGCAGAGGAGATACAGAAATGTGTGAAAAGGAAACGGGCACAACAGCGAAGGATGACATCTCTAGGACAGTCTGTGTTAACAGGGACACAAAACCTGAGAAGCACAGGTAAGTCATGGGAAGAGAGAGCTGGGAAACCCAGCTGGCTGCAGTAAGACCAAGGGAACTCAGGATAAGTCTGTGAGAGTTGGTAAGGCTCTTGATATGACCAGAGAAGACAGATATCAACATACTGTAGAGAAGGCTTTATTAAAAAAGAAAAAGGAATGTAAATTAACAAAACTAGCAGAGGTTTAGAAGACAGGCTTTAAAGAACAGGTTTTTGCGATCAGTAACAGGAGCAGCATGTATAAAGGGATTCTTTTTTCTCATCCTTTGCTCCTGGTGCTTTCAGGAGTGACATTTCCTGTAACCAGAAGTGCCTTGAAAAAAAAAAGAAAAAAAGGAAAAGAAACAACAAAGTGGCTAACGGGGCCGTAATTAAACGGCCGTCACAGGCAGCGGGACTTGACAGAAAACGCCACACGGTGAGCACTAGAACTCAGCCACCTCTGCTGAGGGGCCCTGCAGCCGAACCGCGCTCCGCCGCGGGGCCTGCCCTGCCACCCACCTCCGCCGAGCTCGGGCACCGTCAGGTCCCGCTCCCGGCTGTCCATCTTCTTCAGGTACTGGTAGACCAAGTTTTCCTTCTCCTGGGAAGTGTCAGCGTCCAGCAGGGCGTACTCCAGTTGGGTCTGGGCGGGCAGGAGCCCCGCCAGCCCCTCCGCCGCCATGACAGCTCCCGGGCGAGCCCAGACCGGTCGCTGTTTACCAGCCTGCTGTTTCACCGCCGCACATTCGGCACGCCCCTCAAAGCCAGCGACGAAAGTTGTAATTAATAATAATAATAACAATAATAAAACCTAAGCACAAACGAGCAATATCTCGTTTATTAAAGTGGGACCTTCTCATTCATGGCGTGTTCTTACATAGCTTTGATGTTCACAGAAGCACATTCGTGAAGAGAATCCCCAGCGGTGATTCTAGACTAGCAGATTCCACACAGCCCGCTTTTCCGGCACTGCTCCTTTTTTTATTTGTAAGTGGAATAGATATGAAGACCGAGAATATCGCGACAAATTCCAAGCAAGGCAGCAATAATTTAAACTGTGGGATTTTTTTTTTTTAGGGGGATGATATTATGAAATATCTGGAAGGCTGAGCGACAGCACCCGTGACGAAGCTGCGGAAGCGAATGTGTTGCTGCGGCGGGAAGGGCTGAGGAAGTGCGGCCGCCCGCGATCCCGGTAGCGGCGGGAAGCTGAGGGAGGCGGCAGCTGCCCTAGATACCCACGGGAGACTCCGGGCAGGCGGCAGCCGCCCGAGGTGGGACCTCAGCGCAGGAGGAGAGCGCGGCCCGACCGGCAGCCAGTGTTGGCCTTCTCCGTCCTGTGACTCCCGACAGCGATCCCGCAGCTGAACGCTTCGTCGTTTTCGTTTAAAACACCCCTCTTCGGGGCAGCGAGGTGGCAGTCAGGGCGCGGGTCTGGAGGGGCTTCTCCTTCCTAGGGCCGGGCCTGGCTGGGCGCTTACGGGGGGACGCTGAGGAAAATGGCTCACCCTGCGAGTCGTGCTGTATCTTGTTTAAGCTTCTGTTTAAAAGGAGTAATTTCAAGTACTCAAAGAGACGCTCATTAAATGATTTTTTAGGATTCACCATGCTTCAGTCCCATCACGGACTGTTGTGTGGTTTGTTGCATTTTCAAAATGAATTTAGGTGCTTTTGTGCTTTTGTTCAGACAGTGAAGAGGGGACAGAAGAGAAATCATAGTAGAGGGAATGGTACATTTGTGAACTGTTGCTTAAAAGAAAGGAAAATAATTCCTGCGTTGCCATGTCTGACGATACCTCATTGGAAGTGGACATTTGGGAGTACAAATCCATTAGGAAGGAAAAGCATCAGAGTAATGCAGAAAGCATCTCTACACCTGTGCAGACAGTAAGTGATGGCAAGTGCAGGCCAAAAAGGAAGAGAAATAGAAAAAGAAAAAAGACTGTAGAAAAAGCTGATACCCTTCAGAAAACCGAGCAGGTATCAAGGTCAAAAGAGGATGCAGATCCATGTAAAGATGAGAGTAGTGTGCACTCCCAGGAAAGCACGAGCAGCCTCACAGACCAGAGCTCACAAAACACAAAGCCCGTTTATGATGGATACTGCCCAAGCTGCCAGATGCCTTTTTCTTTGCTATTGGTCCAGACACCTCGATGGCATGTTGCTGAGTGTTTGGATACTCCAGGATCCAATGAAAAAGGTATGCACAGAGTAAGAAAAAAGCTTCAGGGAAAAGTTAAAAGGCTTCTCACGTAATGTTGCTATAAAACTTGGGTTTGCATATTTAATTCAAAGTCTGAGAGGGTCGTTGGTATGGTTTTTAGAATGTTGTTATTGATCATTTATCAGTACTGTTTTTGAATGAGATTCTCTGTTGTTTGTGAAGAACATGGAAGTCAGACATGAATATCTCACATAACCTAATCTCTGTAGTGACAAAGATTTATGGTTGTTCAGCAAGCTCAGGTTTTAATATTTATTGAAGAAGTTGAAGGTGCATACCATTTAAATTACTAAGTCAGTGTCAGCAAAACCCCTCCTTCAGTTAAGAGGGTTCTACTTCTGCCTGTGAATTTCTTTCTTCTTAGGTATAAATCTTACTGTTCTGTATCTGTGTTGCTGTATAATTTGTCCAGTTGTGTATGGATGGTTAGAAGCTGAAATCTGCCTGTTACGCTAATTTACTGGTCTGTTTACAAGTATATTACTGAAATATAGTGATCCAGTATATTTTAGAAATTTTGTACAGAATTATACATGATCATTCCTGTATCATATGGCAACAGAATTTTGTTTTGAGTTCTGTTCCAAGAGGAATAAGACTGATGTATTCCAGTTGCTAGTTTCCTCTGGGGAAATACCAGGTCCAAACAGATCCAGGTATCCAGTTTATGTGTAGATGAGGCCCTCAGTGATATGATTTAGTAGTGGTGTTGGTAGTCTCTGGGGTAAATGGTTGGAGTTAATGATCTTAAAGGTCTTTTCCAACCTGGTTGATTTATATGATTCTATGTTCTTAGCAAACCTTGTAGCTTTTGAAACAGCATCCAGCCTGGAAACTTGAGTAAAGGCTCTTTTAGGTAACAGAATCACCTTGCTTTTTGTATCTTTGTAAGTTTCATTGAAGTTTCTTCTTCAAGAATGGAGAGAACTTAAATTCACTTCAGTGTGAGTACTTTAATCCTGATTTTGGCAGCAGTTTAAGATGAGGCAGATGGTTAACACCTCTTTTCCATCTCTTACTCCCATAATTAACAGACAAAAAATCCCTCTAATTGATTGACATACCTTAAAACCCTCTCACAATAGGCCAGCAAACTCTCAACAAAAAAGGCCTAGGGAATAGCCACAGATATTTTGCTGAATACTTTTTTCACTGAAGTAAAACTATGAGCTTTTTTTTTTTTTCTTTAATATGTGACCCAGCAGGCAATTTGAAATTGAATTTCAGGCTGACTCAGAACCAAGATTTGGTTTATTTTGAAACATGTCTACTGGCCTTTTCTGGTGCTGCTGCTCTGAGCTCATTGCTTTCATGTGAGACAGTTCAAAACTAGAAGCTATATGATTACCATTAGCACAATATTGAAACAGGGTTAGGTATTCATGTTGTTAGAGGGCTGTATCAATTCAGGCGTAGTGCTGTATTAGCAGCAGCTGTTTGGTTTTAGGTTGGAAGCATTCTGCTTTCTAGCCAGCTCAGGGCAGGAGGTCATACTTTTCTTACTTGTGCATTCTGTTTTCCTATAGCTGCATTTATAAGAAACAGCTTTAAAATAGTCTCATGTGTGATTTTTATTTTAAAAATTATGCCAACTATATTTGCAAAGATACTAAAATTGCTTCTCTGCTTAACTCTTTTCGTAGAGTGTCCTGATGGTTTACTGTGCAATTCCACCATTCCATCTCACTACAAGCGTTACAGCCATTTTCTACTTGCAGCAAGCAGGGCTGGAGATTATCTTGTAAACTCTTTGTCAAACAGTTTGGAGAGGAAGATGACATGTTCTGCTGCTCCAAAGCTCAGCTGCTCCCCAGGTCAAGTAGAACAAATCTCACAGAGTGAGAAACCATCCAAGAACATAAAAAATACCCCAAATGATGACTGTATGTTGAGGGTTCAGAGTTCACCACAAGTGAAGTCTCTAAATTTAATCAGTGAAAGTACTTCCTCTTTTGCACGTGTTCAGACGCCTCAAGAGCCATTTCAGCATACAGAGACAACAGATAATAGTTGTGATTTTGAATTTTATGACTTTGTATCTGCTCAGGAAAGTGGAATAGAAGATCTGTGTAGTGAGAAGGATACAAGTCAGCTCACTTTACTGCAATCAAAAGCAGACTTCAGTGAATGTGAAATTTCTTATTCTCCACTGAGCACTTTTGAGGAAAGTGAAGAGGAAACTCAGGAAGAGAAGGTGAAAATATCACAAAAGAAATTATTTGGAGACTGTAACTCTGAAGATGAAGACTGTAATTCTATGATGTTTAAAACATTTGATGGACTTCTTTTACAGCAGAAGCCTCAGTATGAGCATGACAAACCAAGACATTCCGTAATTAAAAGCAAACACTGTGAGGAAGTAAAGCCATTGGACCATCTAGATCACGGTATAAAAACTGTTTCTCAGAGTCAAAAGAACAAGAAGTTTTGTAATTCAACATGTGTAGATAATCAGCATCAGCAAGAGGCACTAGCCAGTGGCTCCTCTTCTCCTTTTAACTGGGTGGAGGCTGAAGAGCCTGAATTGATTTCCTCTGCTGCTAAATCAGGTGATACAGAGTCAGAAGATACTGGTGCTTGTGCTTTAGATTCTTCATACCTGAGTTTTACTGAAACATCACTACTGGTAGCCAGAGAAGGTGCTAGGTCTCTTCTGACTCAGAAGAGTAATTCTTTGAGGGAGTCAAGTAACATTTTAACTAACGAAGATAAAATGCCTTCCAATGCAGTTGGAAAAACAGCTTGCCAGGAGAGTTTGCAGTCAGTAGTGGATAAAGAAGGAAACTTTAATACAGCTGCTGTGTGCTTTCCCAGCCCCAACTCTAAAACAGCAACATCTCTTTCTTTAGCAAGTACGAATGCCAAATCCAGTCCTGCCAAAGGACTCAAACAAATGGACATTGGTGTTTTTTTTGGGTTAAAACCCAAAGTGAAAGAGGAAAGCAAAGAAGAAACATGTTTGAGTGAGGGAAAGCGAATATCAATTTCAGTAACTCCCAATGGAAAGAGGCCCAGACAGGCAAAAAGGAAAGCTGAAGGGTCTGTGGAAGATGTAGAAACAGTTACTGGAAGTTCAACAAAAGATGGAGCCTTTGCAGGTGTAAGTTCTGGTGGCCAAAAAAGGTGGAATAAAAAGCTTAAAGTATTATCTACTGCAGGTGAAGGAACAAGAAAAAAGCACTGCCCTTTCTACAAGAAGATTCCAGGTGAGAGAGAACTGTTTGTTTTTGTAGAGGTTAATTTTGGCTTGAGTGTTGGGTTGGTTTTTTTTCTAAATTTAGACTTCCATATTCTACACTCTTCATAGCCATTTAGATTGCAGCTCATAATGAACTTTCTTTCCTCCATCTGAATTAATAAAATCTGGCATAGGTGCAGATCTCCAGAAGCAATGGCTGAAAACAGTGAAATAATTATCTCACCAAAATGAGTTCAAGGACTGACTTCTGAATGTTTTTGCCACAGCAAAAAGCAGTTTTGAAAGATGGATCTACTTTCTTAAATAATTTTGAATATATCCCTTGTTAATATTCACTCCTAATGCCTGAATTTAATCTTTTGCATTGCTTCAGTTGTTCCTGAAAACAGGGCTGTCAATAGCAATTATTTCCCTACAGTAACTTCAGAGAATTGAGTTCAATTTTGTATTTGAAATTCAGTAGTATTAGAAATATGATTTACTACAACTGTGAAAGCAAAGAAATGAAAACCAAGCAGATGAGTTTAGTTAAGGAAACAGAGAAGAATTTATCAGAATCTCCTCAAGCAGTTACATAAATTACATGCTGATGGATCAGTGGCTTAAAGAGCTTCAAATCCTCACAGTTCAGTTTACCACCAAAGGATTGTCTTAGTCGTAGGGAGATACTTTAGGAAGCCAAACAGAAATATATTAGTGATCCGAAGTGCAAAGCTGCTTCTTGAAAACTGATATGCAAGTCTTTGTGGGGCTTCACCGGTATCGTGGCTTCTATGGGCTTAGAGAATTTTCCATATATAATAACTGAGGTTTTGAGTCTGGTACCTTGCAAACACTTGGGCATATTTTGGTTTGTGGTTTTTAATTAGCAGGCTGCTATGTTGTTTTTGGAGTTGCAAATCCATGAAGCTCTAACCTCGAGTAAGTAGAGCTTTTGCTAGCTGTAGAAGATCTAGAAAAATTATCTTACATAAAATGAAAAAATATTAGAGTGCCGCCAGATGAATTAGTTCTATGTGCTATTTGGTGGGCTTAAGAAGGTGTGAAAGGACCATCTGTCAGTATGTTTGCATTCGAAACAAATATATTTGCAGATAAAAGGTCTGTCTTCTATCCAGCTCTCTTTATGCAGCATCTTTATACAAACAACCTCACTGAAAGCGTACAATGGCAAATCAGTCACGTTTCATCTCAGCAGATAGATTGGAAGCCCTCACATTGCCTGTTTCATAATTACATTGGTCGATGGGAAAACTGAACATGAGCCACTTCAGTGTGTGCTCTTAGCCCAGAAACCAACAGTGTCCTGGGCTGCATCAAACGAAGCATGACCAGCAGGTCAAAGGAGGTGATCCTGCCCTTCTGTTCCCGTGACATCCCACTCGGAATACTGTGTGTACTTCTCGTCTCCTCAGCGTAAGAAGGACATGGAGCTGTTGGAGCAAGTCCAGAGGAGGGCCACAAGGATAATCAGGGGGCTGAAGCACCTCCTGTATGAAGACAGGCTGAGAAAGTTGGGGCTGTTCAGCCTGGAGAAGAGAAGCTGCATGAAGACCTCATAGCAGCCTTCCAGTATCTGAAGGGGGGCTGTAGGGATGCTGGGGATGGACTCTTCATTAGGGACTGTAGTGATAGGAGAAGGGGTGATGGGTTAAAACATAAACAGGGATTGTTTTAGATTGATTTAGATTGGATATAAGGAGGGAGTTCTTTACTGCAAGGGTGGTGAGGCACTGGATTGGGTTGTCCAAGGAAGTTGTGAATGCTCCATCCCTGGCAGTGTTCAAGGCCAGTTTGGACACAGCCTTAGGTGACATGGTCTAGGATGAGGTGTCCCTGCCCATGGCAGGGGGGTTGGAAATAGATGATGTTAGGTTCTTTCCAGCCCAAATCATTCTATGATTCTACATGCTAGCACGTTTTAAGAGGATTATTAAATGTAGAGTAATTGAATGATTGCAGTTTGATTGCAAAATGTATTTTGTTAAGATGCAGTTACCTGTTTTATTTTGTGTGAAGTTATTGGTATTAGATTTTAATCTACATGAACTTTCAGAAATACCAGTAGAATGCAGGTAAATATGTTTCATTTGCCTCAGCAGTTGCCATCTGTGTAGTGTGCCAGCTGAACAACAGGTATTTGGGAGGCTTGTGAAAGTCTGTGTGTGAACACTTTGTTAAATTTTTATTTAGTCAGTGAAAATCTTTTTTGTGACTGACTCATACACAAGCCATGCTCATGCTTAAACGGTTCCTTTAACTATGTGCAGAGTAGCTGTGTTACCTTTTCATTTGGAAGGAAGAGAAAAAAGGAACATCTAGTTAGAAACTAGTTCTGAACTGTGCAAGTTTGCTGACTGGCTTCACTTCTCTTTTTGCTTTAGGAACTGGTTTTACAGTTGATGCCTTCCAGTATGGAGAAATTGAAGGCTGCACAGCTTATTTCCTTACTCATTTTCACTCCGATCACTACTGTGGGCTAACAAAAAACTTCATGTTTCCAATCTACTGTAACAAGGTAAGATTGTCCAAGATTACTGGGTATTATGAAATCCCTATGCAACTATAAGCACTTTTATACTGGTGAAAGTAAACAGATCAGAGGTTCCTGTGTGTCCTGTGCTTCAGGCTGCTGAATGGCCAAGACTGCTGTTAGCTGGCATATGTCCAACCAGTTCTACTGTTAACATGGTAGGGCACCTTGCCTCATCAGCCTATCCAGAACATGCATCAAAAAACTGTTTCTGATTTACTTTGGAAGTCTCCTGGAATGCCTGTGTTCTGTGTTGCCCTTCCAGTAGGTGTTGGGGTGACTGCAGTCCTCTGCAATAAGATCTAGGGCCTGTGATGTGGAAACTTCCATTGTTCAAAGAAGGCTTTACCCAGCCCCTCTTTTTGACTTGCAGTCTATAACAGATGTTATTCCCCCTTGTTTGCCTCCTTTCTGATTCCAGTCCATAACCTGTTGGTGGGCTTTTAAAAGTTTGATTTTTTTAAGACAAGCTTTCTTTCAGTTTGCTTTTTGAGAGGTGAAATGCTGCTGAAAGGCTTGATTATACCCAGGATCTCATAGTTTCTCATAGTTTCTCTGTAAGCCAAACAGTCTGACTTTGAGAGCTTTTGTTTCTAAAATAAACAAAGGCTTTTTTTAGATTTTGTTCCTATTCCATATTAAATCCTTTCCCTGTTGCAGATAACTGGCAATCTGGTGAAGAGCAAACTTCGAGTCAAAGAGGAGTATGTCCACATACTGCCAATGGACACGGAATGTATAGTAGATGGGATCAAAGTGATGCTGCTCGATGCCAATCAGTATGTATTATTTCATTTATTGTGCAATATTTGTATGTATACAATATTAAAGAGCTGTACAGACAGTTTATATTTTTAGGATTTTTAGGGTTTAGGGGATTTGGAAAAATAAGGGTGAAAATACTTCACATTCCTGAGTTGACTTAGTAACATGCATTTTCACTTCAGAAATGAATTAGGCATGGAAAAGCCTAAATTTCTTGCAAGTAATTAGCTTCTGAAAGAGGTGAACTTTGAAGGAGGATAGGCTTTTTTTGATCATTTTAGTTTAACTTCATTTTGTTTGCTTGTAATGAGTACCTAGTATTAACCACACATAACTCCATAACCGTTATGTTTGTTGAGAGGTTGAATGATTTTTCTAGTGGTCTGCACACTTTAATTTTTGGTCTCTACTTGGCAGCATCCTACATTTGATTATCAGATACGTTAGGTTCCTGTATCTTCAACTGAATATAGTGAAATCCTCAGCAAAAGAAAAACAAGGTACTTTGGAATCCCAGGAGAGACAAAACCTAACCAATATTTTGAAAACTGAACTTTAAAAATAAACGTGTTTAAATCTTGAGCAAAATTTCTCCTGGATTTGGTGATAAAGGGTGAGATTTTTGTCCATTATGCTGGTAATGTGTGGTTCAGTAGCACCAGACTTAACAGCCCTGTGCTGCCTCTTGGTACCTTATTTGCCTATGGGTTAGGGGAAGAGTCCTTTCCCTAAAGTATATTATTGTCACACAGGACTGCATCATGGCTGTTTTGAATATTGCTTATTGTATGACTTGTTTATAGTTAAGAGAGATAAGATTCCATGAAGTCCTTTGAAAACTGTTTCTGGGAAGGGAGGAAGCCTTGTTGCTTATGTAATTTGGACACTTATTTTTCCTGTTTGTGTCTCTGATCCTCTGCTTCAATTTAAAAGGCATATAAGCCTTAGGTACGAAGTTCAGCTTCTTGGAGAGGTCACCAGTTCTGTCATTTGAGCTCTGATTCATGCCATTTTTTTGAGATTTCATATATCCTTTAAAGATGATTCATGTCCAGAATAGTCCCACTCTGGTTTTCCAGTCTGAGCTCTTGCCCTTCAGACAGCTTTGGCAAGAAATTGCAAAAAAGTGCACTGTGACCAGTAACAAAATTGCATTTATAACCAGGGAATTCTGGATGGTGGATAGTGTTTAAAATCTGCAGATAGAATTTAAAAGGAAATGGTTTGGTAAGTCCTGCAGGACTGAAGATGTATATGCAACAATACAGTTCTCTTTCTCCTGAATAAGAATGCTGTTTGCCCCTTGAATCAAGTATAGAACCTCAGGTGTTACAACAGAGGCTGCATCTTTGTTGTACTTAGAAGACAGAGGATCCCAAGAGAGCAGTTAATGCTTGATTACTGTTGGTGTGATTTTTCCTTTTTTCCATCTCAGCTGAGAACTCAAGCCCAGCTTATCTATGGCCATAAGAGTAACTTCAAAATTCCTTTAGAAACCAGAAACTTCTAGTTAAATTAGGCTGCATAGTAGGTGTAATTTAAAACGCTGTTTTGCACAGCTTCCTGCTAGTGAACATAGTGTGGTATATCTCTTATGGTGGTTTATCAGTCTAGAGAACTAACACAATTTGTATGGGGTTTTTTGTCTGTTACAGTTGTCCAGGTTCAACAATGATCTTTTTCTGCCTACCCAGTGGGACTGTTATTCTGCACACAGGAGACTTCAGGGCAGATCCATCTATGGAGCGCTATCCTGCTTTGAGTGGTCAGCAGGTTCACACCCTTTACCTTGATACCACGTAAGTTGTGTTGAATTCCTAGGTTTTTTTTTTTCAATATAACCCTCTTTTCAATTTAGTAAGACTTTGTATGAACCAAATAAATATAAGTGTAAATGACTGACATAACTGTTTTAACATTTGTTAGGCTCTATTTAGTGCTGAATAAAATGAGGGTTTTATTTAAAGTCCGTGTATGTCTAGCTTGTTCATCTGTTATGCTGTTATATGAGAGAATAGAAGTGGGTAGTAGAAAAGATGTTAAAGCATTTACTGAAACAACATTGAGTGGTATAAATTCTGGGTGGCAAAACTCAGAGCTGAACATTTCGTGTATGAAATAAGAGGTTCATGGAACACTGTTTTTATGTGGATTCAACTCCATTGTGAAAAAGAGTGTGGGGGAATTCAAAGAGTGAAAGAATGCCAAATGATTCAGTCAGTTGTCCAAGTTTTCATTAGACCTTTCTCTGACTCATATATATAAAATTGTTTTTCTGTGCATGGTGACTAAAGCCCAGCTGCAGACTTTCATTTCAGCTCCATATGTTTCTGCCAATGAATAATGCCTTATGGTATGGTTTGTGTACATGACAAAAAATAGGAATGAGGATGTAATTAGTAAGTGATACAAATAATCTAACTTGAAAGAGCACTTGGTATTTATAGAGAAAAAACTGCAGAACTGAGTGTCAGTGGCAGACAAGTGAATAGTTACAGAGAAAAGACTGATACACTCAATGTGGATTTTATTGCAGCAATTTCATCTGAACTCCTCAGTTTCTAATAAATAGATTGCATGTAGACTGAAATGCTGTAGAAGGTAACATCTTTCTCATTACTTTGTTACTGTATGCATGCTGTTTTGAGAGCCTTCTTGGTGAATTCACATCCTTTATTTTGTGTAATGAAGTGGTGTTTCTTGTTTCCATGCTCCAGATATTGTAGTCCCGAATACACTTTTCCTTCTCAACAAGAGGTTATCCAGTTTGCTGTTAATACTGCCTTTGAGACAGTGACTTTAAACCCACGTACTCTAGTTGTCTGTGGCACCTATTCCATTGGAAAAGAAAAAGTTTTTTTAGGTATGTAAAAAAGTGTACTGGATCCAAAAACTAAATATCCAAACGTTAAAAGGTATTTTCTTGAAGATATAAAGGGTCTTTTAGTCGTGATGTTCAGGTATTGTGTGAAGACATTAAATATATTTAATAATCCTACTGCTAGTATTTTAGTTTTCTAATCAGTAAGTTTTAGCTTTCTGAAAGAAATCTTTCTGCCATGTTTACAACCCCCCTTGAATATACCCAAGGCCAGTCTGGAACTTACTTGATTGTGAAGAGAAAACTCCTAATGGAAATGAAATAATAATAATAAAAAAAACCCAGAAAACCAGGTCTTTATGACACTTCTGTTGTTAATAATTTCATGTAGTCAAGGAAAAGCAAAAGGATGTAATTATTCTTAAACTTCTATTTTGGTAAGTTTTTCCTTCCAGTTTTCTATTATATATTTTTCTGTTTATTTAGAGTCATCAATTTTAATGAAAAACATTTTAACAAAGCATTCCCCAAACCAAAGCACATATTTTCTGATATAATGAAAAACTTGTGTGCTATGCTTCACTTGGTTACAGCATTACAGAATCATAGAATCATAGAATGGTTTGGGTTGGAAAAGACCTTAAGATCATCTGGTTCCAACTCGCCTGCCATGAGCAGGGATGCCTCACCCTAGACCTTTCCACCTAAGGCTCTGTCCAACCTGGCCTTGAACACTCCCAGGGATGGAGCATTCACAGCTTCCTTGGACAGCCCATTCCAGTGCCTCACCATCCTCACAGTAAAGCACTTCTTCCCTATATCTAACGTGAACTTCCCCTGTTTTAGTTTAAACCCATCACCCCGTATCCTGTCACTACAGTCCCTAATGAAGAGTCCCTCTCCAGCATCTGTGTATACTCAAGAGCAGGCAGGTATTTTTCGGTAGTAAAAGTGATCCAGTGATCCAAGCAAAAAAGTTAACTCTTGCAATTTTCTTTATCTGATTTCTTCCCAATTAATCTCAAAGCAATTGCTGAAGTTCTGGGCACAAAAGCAAGCATGTCCCGTGACAAGTACAAAACACTGCAGTGCTTAGAGTCAGCAACTGTGAATTCCCTCATCACTGTGAACTGGGATGGAACTTTGCTTCATATCCTTCCCATGATGCAAATCAATTTTAAGGTAAGTTCAGAACATATACTCTGTGGATTATCCTTGTGGTTAATCTTATTCTTGGTTCCTCTCAACCAGTGTTGTTTGGTGCTTCACAACCTCTTGTCAGATTGTATTTATTTAGCAGAGTTTTGACATGTAGCAATACATTGAAAATGAAATACAATTAAACATTAATAACTGTCTCCAAACATGATGCACAGAAAGTGTAATTTCACTTCAATGAGGTGCTTGTACAAGATAAGACGAGAGTTGTTCAAAGGCTTGCTCTTTGTGGGCCTTTTTGAAGTAGATTTATGTAATGACTGCAGGATCTGTCCTATTAGCAATTAATATGTTGTGACATGGAGTCCCTGTTTTCAGCCTGTCTTTTACCTGGCATGTAGGAAAAGACTAAAAGGATTTTCTGCCTGTCAGGCTCTGTTTCAAGGCATCCTCTGAACATGGCCACCTTTGTCTGGTGTTCGGTAAAGGAATAAGGTTGATCATGTTCTTCTCAGTTCAATTTCCATGTATTTATAATCATATTTTCATCTTCTAAAAGAATAATTCTTCTTATCCTAGAATGATAGAATGCTTTGGGTTGGAAAGGATCTTAATGTCATCTATTTCCAACCCCCTGCCATGGGCAGGGACGCCTCTCACTAGACCATGTCAGCCAAGGCTCTGTCCAACCTGGCCTTGAACACTGCTAGGGATGGAGCATTTACCACTTCTTTATGCAGCCTGTTCCAGTGCCTCACCACCCTCACTGTGAAGAACTTCTTTCCTTACAGGAAAGAATTTCTTCCTTTTTCTTCTAAAAGAGTAATTCTCTGTCCTTCTGTGCTGAGAGTTCACATGGGACTAAGGATACTTGAAAATCAGTATAAACTTGCACATAAACAAATGCACACGTTGAGTGAGTTGAAGGACACTTCATATAAACACACATGCTTTAGCTTTTTCCACACACAGTCTTCTCTGATATTTGTGGCAAAAGCAAGTAAATCAGTTTATTTTAAGACATTGTTTCATGTAAGTTGACTTCAAATGCACATTTCAGTTGAGATTTGAGACACTGACTTTTTGGTGAGATTTTTTTGTGGGACTTTCTTTCCACAAAAGTAAGTAGTTAGGAAAGGTGACTAATTCTTGGGGGGAAAGAGTTTTTCTATAAAGACTGCAAAATACAGAATGGCATTAAGGCAAAGCAGGAGGCTGGAGATTAAAGGTAACCTGGAAGAAAAACAATGGTTGCTTACACCTTATGGACTTGGATTAATTTTCCTGCTTTGTTTCAGGCCTGCTGTGCCATCTCAAGCAAATCCTTCAGAGCAAGATGGTATTTAGCTGCAGGACCAGTCAATGTCAGAGCTGACCTAAAAAGGAGAAAAAGAGGCTTTATGATTTGGATGGGAGCTGCAGGAGATGGAACTTAATATCTTAATGTTTTAACATTGTTCTATAATCTTTTCCATGGTGGGGCAGAAAATGAGTAATGGCAACGTGTATGGATTTATTTTTAACTTGTTGTGTTGTCTTAAACAGTAATATATTTGAGTTTCTTCTGCAGATTTTGGGGTTGTTACGTGATTCTGCTGTCACGTGTCCTACCATGTATGGTTTACTCACATAGCTGGGCTTTTATGCAGAGGGTGTGGTTATATTATGAGGATGTCTGGACAACCTGGCTTCTCAGAGGCAGTTGTATCATGCGGGGTCTTACCTCTGAGAACAGGAGGTTCTAAACAAACCTAGGGCGTGCTGGAAGTGATACCTGGACCACAGAAAGGACCAGGAAAGATTAAAAGGCACAGTCATCTAGTGGACAATGTGGAGAATGTTAAATGCTTGAAGATGAGTTTCTATCTTATTTCTACTCAGCATCAGTAAATAGGAATGCAGAAAAGGCAATATTTTCAAGAATGTATCATCTGATCTCTTGCAGTCTCATTCTAGTTAAAGAATGACGAATGATATCATCCTCTTTGTACAGATTATGTAATTTTGGGTGCCAGTTCTATGGAACTGACTGAATTACAGTGGGTGTTTTTTCTTGGCTTGAATTACTGGGAAAGGCAGAATTTTTTAGTGATCCTCATTACTAAATGCCAATAGCTTCGTTATCCTCTGGGTCTCTTCTACCTCTTCTGTTTTATTTGATCCCGTAGTCCTCCTCAGAACCACAATTTACTTCTTAATTTGGGCTAATTTCCTGTCTCTGTAGATTTGCAGCTGAAGCTACAAATCCATTAAATCCTTATGGGAAGATTCTCAGTCAAAAGCTTAGATTCAGTCCTTATTTAGTAAACTGAGTACATCTGTGATCCTGTAGAATGCAAATAGCCAACCCTCATGGTATATTATATTATCCCCCAGAAGCCACAGTTTTATGCTCTGTTTTTCTTTGTCATGCTCTTTACTAATGGAAAAAAACCCCAAACTTGTCTGTGCTTCATGTTTGACAGTTCTAATAACTATGAACATGATTGTACCAGCATTGAGGTGAGGTTTTCAGAGCTGCCTGTGATTGAAATGCACAATAAATTATTAATGACATTGAAATTGCATCCTTAACATATATGTTGCACACTCAATTTATAGCAAAATGTGAAAGCAGATCAGCATTGATTAATATAATAATCATAGTATTTGAAGTGCTGTATTTAGATTTCATTAGAGCAAGGGGAGCAAATACTTCAATTATTACCTGAAGTTATGTTAATCCTTCAAAAATGAAGTGTGAAGGAGAATTTGACTGCTGCAGTTACATCTGTCATCTAGTGAGGGCTGAACATTTTCAGTGTATTGAGAGTCATGGCAGCCAGCCACAATTCCTGCTGCTGAATGAAACGCATTGTGGTTGGGTCTTTTGTGGTTTATGTGCCTGGTTTGGTGGATTCTGTATGTTGCTACTGGATGTTGTACTGAAGGTGCCATCAAATGTGGCACTGTTACAGGCAGCTTTCTGCTTCCCTGCTTAAGTTTTCAAGTGTCTGGCAGGTCAGTGACATGGTTTAGGGGTAGTCTTTGACAGTGCTGGGGTAATGGTTGGACTTGATGACCTTAAAGGTCTTTTCCAACCTAGTTGGTTCTATGATTCTATGACTCTTATCACAGCCTACCTATCCCCGCCTTTTGTTAACCAGTCTTTATTTTGTATTCCTCTTCTGACTGCTGATATAAAGTTTATGATTTTGAGTTCTATAATCTTGTAGAGCTTTCAGATGGAGTCTGTGCCTTTAAGGTTTTGTACAGGACACATGCAACTGATTTTCTCTTTTTATAATAATACTGAAATAATACTGTTTGAAATAATACTGACCTCACTTTATCCAGGAATAAGACTGCACATTCCTTGTGCTTCTCTTTTCATCCTTTTCCAATCCTAGCTTAACATTGAAGGCTAACTTAACCAATTTGGAAACTTTATAAAGTCCACTTTTTTTTTTAGAGGTAGTTTTGTTCTTATGCTGAATGGAGATGTGGTAAAACATGGTTGAGTGCTCAGAGCCATGCACTGTATTCAACTAATACACAGCTTGCTGTGATTTTTTTGGGTAGCTTAATTAACTCTGAGCACTTCTGGGCATAAGCAGATGTCAAGATCTCTGTGGCACTTTGTAACTAGATGGTTCTGCACTGAAACAGACTTTCACCATCTTTTATCACCACTCAGCTGCCAGAGTGTTGACTTCCAGTTGAGAGGAAGAAATGGATTAGTTGGGTAGCACGATCTGTAAGAGGATGTGATTATGCCTTACGTATTCTGATCTGTAATATGTGGCTGTTAACATGGGCTTATTCGGATGAAGCAATTGAGATCCTAAGGTACAAGGTGCTCTGCAGATGTAAACATTTATCACTAGTAATTCCAAAGTAGATGATACTTATGTTAAAAGAAGAAAATAAAGTTTAGTCTGAAGTCTCTCCATCATGAAATTTCCAACCTTTATACTAAAGAGCTATTTAATGGCATTCAGTTTATGCTGTGTTCTGTTCACAGGGCTTGCAAGATCACTTGAGTAAGTTTTCTGAGAATTTTGATCACATTCTGGCTTTCAAACCTACTGGATGGACCTACTCTGATTCATGCCTTTCTCTGGTGGATATCAAACCTCAGACAAGAGGAAACATCACCATATACGGTATAAGTGTGGTAAAGATTAACTTTGTGTGGCTGCTTTTTGTATTTTTATTCTGGAAGCTCCAACTGTTCTTTGTAATCAATGCTTTTTCTGATAACTCTTTAGGAAACCAAACAGATGGTCTCTCCAGGAGAGAGCCATAAATGGAGTAATAGAGAATGCAGTAAATGTAGCTTTTTACATATATTTTGCTCCTGTCCTCCTCATGCAGATAGAAGCTTTTATCTGGCATAGGTAGAGACTTTCAGGGCTAAAGCCTTGGTCTGGCTGATGCTGGTGGCAGTGCAGTTCCAGAGCCAAGATTTCATTCTATACCTTGCTCAGCTTCCTCTCAGATCACCCACCTCTCGGTGGGTGGAGTTAAATGACAGTCATTTAACTAAGTGCATTTGATGTCACTCAGTTTGCACTGATAAACAACTCAGTAACTTAATGCAAGGTAGATTGTCCAGAAGGAAAATCTGGGGTTTCATTTTACTTTAGCTATAAATCTCAAATAGGAATTAAAATATATATATATATATATTATCTAAAGTATTTCTTAGCTGGAAGTCTTGCCAACAGTATTCTGGCAAGGAGCTAAGCAGACTGACGGATTGCTGTGATATGTTTCATTTCAGGGATTCCTTACAGTGAGCACAGCAGTTACCTGGAAATGAAGCGATTTGTGCAATGGCTGAAGCCACAGAAAATCATCCCCACTGTAAATGTTGGTGACTGGAAAGCAAGAAGCTTGATGCAGAAGCATTTTAGAGACTGGATGGTTGAGGATAGTGGGCATGAATAGATATTAAGGAAGAATGTGTATTTCAGAGGAGGTGGGCTGGAGTGGGAGCTGTGAGTTCCTGTGTGTTTTATTTAACTCTTTTTTCCATGGAGCTTTCTTTAGGAAGGATGAAGCTGCCATTCTCCTGAGAAAGCTGAATTTGCATTAAAAAAAAAAGGCACTTTGCTTCTTCATGTACTTACTACTTATTTTTAATATAACTTCATAACTTTTTTACAACTACATTTTTCAGGTTAGTTTTATCTTACTCTCTTCTCCCAGTTCTTCATTTTCCTCATATTTTGGAGATGTTCCGATGCAAATACTGGGGAAGAAACCACCTACAGGTTAATCATTCCTGGAAAGGTGTGACTGTAATAAATAAGGCTATATTAAGCTTACGCCACATGCTGTCAGTTCAGGCTTCAGAGAAGCTGGTTTCATGAGGCAGAACTAGCTATTGCAATTCAAATCTTGTAAACAGAGTGTACCCTGTGAAAGGACTGGCTCAGCTTTTGCAGCGTATGTACTTCAGAGAAAGCTTTTTATAAAAAGATACTGGTACCTACTCAAGATTTTGTGATCTTATTTAATAAAGAACTCCCATGAAGCTTGTGTGTTCTTTCTGAACGAAGTGCATTTCTTTTCATTTGCTACTCTTGACGAACCTGTCCTGTAGTATCTTTGCTGGATGTACTGTATGTGTTGCTCTTGCATCCTGGTAGTACTAGTTCTCAGCACGTGCTCCAGGCACAGAAGAGGTTCTTCTCTGTGTAAGTGCCAGTGGTGCATTTGGGTTTGCAGGGCTGTATACACAGGTTTGTTCCTTGCATTCTAAAGAAACAAGAAAGGTAAATACCAATGTGGCAGCAGAAAGGTAAGCTCCATTTTGTATTATTTTTCTCCTGAATCCTGCCAGATAATCAATGCAACTCTTTCTGTAACTTATCAGTATTTATGATGCTGAAGTATGTGGTTGCATGCAGGCATACTAGTGTAATTTTAAACACTAAACTAATAACTGCCCCAAACTTCCAGGACTTAGAAAAGTTCCATCATGCATAAAGTCATCCCCAGCCCGAGCAGTTCATCTGAAGTCTACGATGCCATTTCTTGTTGGGAAAACATTTCTTTCATGATCAGTGTGGGTCTGCACAGTTCCTCGTCTCTGAGCTCTGTAACATGAAGTCTCTTTGGGGTTTTTCTGTCTTCTCAGAGAAATAGCTGAGAAACTCTGATGGGAAAAAGCTCTTCCACTGATTCATAATTCTTCCAGTGCATTTGCTCAGCTATGGCATTGTTAAATGCTTCTGTTTAAATTAAGCAGTTAAAGGAAACAAGTTTTTCTTTTCCATAAGGCACTATACGAGTTAGCTGTCACAAGAACTGTTGGCTGTCTTGGATTGGCATGCTAATTCCTAGGATTCCACTCTTTTTTGGAAAAGATCTGTGAAAAACTATCTTTTACAGCCCTTTCAAATACCAAACCTGAATTAATGCCTTGTATGCATTGGAGCAAATTTGGGGATTATGTTTGGCAGGCAAAAGCTTTTAGCAGTTGAATCATTAAGGAGTTATGGGGGGGTCTGGCCTTCCAAGTCTTTTTCCTGACTAACTTTTCACCAAGTGTGAGGGCCTGGAATAAGCACCTTGAAGTCAAAACCTTAATCACAGCTCTGATATCAGCTTGCTTCCTTCCATAGGTGTATTTTCAAGAATGAGTATTCCTGCAGGGAGTGAGCATGTGTATGGGATCCCAACGTGCTGCTGCTGTTGCCGGTTTTGTAGGTAGGTGCAGGACACCTGCTGCCTCTATGGCTCTTTACTTAGTGCTGTTGGTTTCTATACTGTTACTACCCTTAAGTGTTGGTTGGTTTTTATTCTAAAAGCAAACTTCTTTCTGCAACTAACCACAAAAATGATGTATCTTGGCAGACACTGACATTGGCATCTGTTGGAGTGACCCAGTTAATCCTGCCCTGATGTGGAGCAGATGGTGATAGGCTTACTTCAGCCAGCAAAGCAGAATGGCTTTTGCTCTGAGGTCTGTTTCCAGTTGCCTGCTCTGCTGTAGGTATTCCTGCATCAGCTCGCTGGTTCCTTTCATTCTTCCCTCCTCCTGGTTTGTATTTGCACTTCTACCAGCTGTTTTTCTGTGGGCAGGTTTGAATTCTGCAGCTTCATGTTAGGAGATCTCCATGTTACCCAGGAACTTGGTCTTCTTTGTGTGGAAAAAGCCTTTTCAGAATCCAAACCCAGGAAGATATTGCTATTTTTATTTTCTTTATTGTAAAGGAAGAAGATCAGCAACATGATTAGATTGCTTAGATGGCCTAGGATGACACATAAACAGATGTGGAAAATGAATTAACTGAACAAGGAGTTTGTGCAAAGATCTGTAGCAGAACCTTTCCTGTTCACTTGTCTGGGCTGTTCCAAGGGAGGACTCTCTGATCACAGAAGGCTAAGCCTTTTAGGGAACACAGATCTATGATCTTAGAACCATAAAATGGCCTAAGTTGGAAGGGACCTTAAAGCTCACCCAGTTCCAACCCACAGGCAGGGACAGCTTCCACTAGAGCAGGTTGCTCCAAGCCCCATCCAGCCTGGCCTTGAACACTGCCAGGGATGGGGCAGCCACAGCTTCTCTGGGCACCCTGTGCCAGCACCTCAGCACCCTCACAGGGAAGAATTTCCAACCAATATCTAATCTAAATCTCCCCTCTTTCAGTTTAAACCCACTTCCTATCACTGTCCCATCCCTACAGGCCCTTGTCCGAAGCCCCTCTCCAGGTTTCCTGTAGCGCCTTTAGGTGCTGGAGCTGCTCTAAGATCTCCCTGGAGTCTTCTCCAGGCTGAACCAGACCAGCTCTCTTGGCCTGACTCCAGGGCAGAGCTGCTCCAGCCTTCAGACCATCTTTGCTAAAGCAGGTCCTAAAGCAGGATGCAGTACTCTACAGGGATAAATCTGATTTCAGCATTACTGCTCATGTGTAATTAATTGGGACTTGGGGAATGGCTCCAGTTTTCCTAAGCAGTGAATATGTTTTCAGCCTTTCAGCACTGTTGGCACTATAGCTGCATGTGTGAAAGCATTTGTGACTTTTGATTCAGCAGAGTGGCTCTAACTACAGCAAAAGTACCATTTTTGTCAAAGTCAATAGACAGGAATTACTGGTCTTTGTTCAGAGAATCAGAATAGTTTGGGTTGGAAGGGACCTTCAAAGGTCATCTAGTCCAATCCCCTTGCAATGAGCAGGGACGTTTTGAGGTAGATCAGATTGCCCAGAGCCACATCCAGCCTGTCCTTGAAAGCAGACTAGACCAGAGGTCTTTGGACAGCAGGTTCAGGAGTCAGTCTGTGTCCTTACCTTCACATCAAATGAGAGTCACATACTGACAAAAAGAATACCATGTTTTACTAAAGCAAGATGGGCCTCTGAACATCCCAGAAGCTCTTCAAGGTTGTCTGGTGCTGACAGACTTGGGGCAGAAGGCAAAGCAAACGAAAGGGGCAGCTGTAACACTTGCTTGATCAGTGCACAGAACGGTTTTCAAAGCCAACCACTCCAAAGAATCACTTTGTATTTCCCATCAGGGCTCCTGCTCTGATTACATATCGCCCCAATAGGCAGATAAATGAGCTAAAAGCAACCCCAGTTGGAAAGGGTAGAGGGGGGGAACGGGGAGAGAAGGAAAGCAGCTCACTCACTGTGCTGATTCAGGCAACGGGTTTCAGGCTGGCTGCAGTAAATGAAAGCAGCTTCTTGCAGCCATGGCCTGCCATCACCCCAAGGAGGCTTCCGGAAAGGGATCTTCAAGGTGCTGGGCATCTTTTTAAACCGTGATGTTGAAATAAGGATTGGCAATAGCTTGGAGTGGAGAAAGGAGCTGAGAGGTCGTAGGGACGGTTAAAGCATTTCTCTGATCTCATCAAACCCATCTACTACATGCTTCGTAAAGGCTGCTGAGATAAACTGCCATTCAGGTTTAAGAGAGTGTGATTTGAGATGCAGCCTTCAAGCACTCAGAGTCTGATTTTTACTGAGCCTGTGTTTTGAATTTGACGACTGTTTAAGGGGATTACACTCGAGACCTGTTACCATGTCAGGGTGAAGACTCAGTATTTTGCATCTTTTGCAATGCCTTGCTGTATTTTCTGTGTCTGGTGAGTTTCTTTGGTAGGGGAAAAAAAGCAGGGGAGTTCTGAGAACAAGAGAATGCATCCCAAACTTTCCCATGCTCCCTTAGCTACAGCATTCATTTCAGCAAGTGGAGTCAATAGTGGAGATTCATTTCAGAACCAGAACAAGAGCGTATCTTGTGGGGCAAGATCAGGCTGCTTCATGTCTTTAGGGTTTACAATAAGGTGATGCAATCTGAAATTCTATTCAACAGCCACCATTCCAACTCACCTGTGTTTGCAGAACGCTCAGGGTGTGTAAACCACACAGTATCTAGGGGGAAATAGGACAGGGATCAATGAAACCCACAGGAGCCTCGGCAGAGCTGCAGCCGCAGAGCAGAGCCCTGCACCGCCTGAATGCCGCCTCCGTTTCCCCTCTGCTCTGAACCTTTACCCACTGCTGTACAATGGCACCTTGTTATCAAACCTCCAGCAAATGCTTTGGCAGGGAAGAAGCTTTTCCACTCTGTCACATCTGCGCTGCTATCTCAGAGCAGATAGTGACTTGTTTGTGCCAGTTTCCAATGGGTACTTACATAAACCAAACAGTTTTTAAAGGCTCTAAGCTTTCCCATTTGGCATTTGAATTTAACTTTATTCTCCATCCCTTCTGTACATTGCATTGGTTGTTAAGGATGGAAGAGGAAAAAGTCCACTGTCTCAGGGAAGAAGATACCAACAGGGCACCCGAGGTAAAGGTGACACGAGGACACAAAGGTGAAAGGGTGACTTTGGAGCTGAGTTCTGCAAGATCAGAGCTGGCTGTGAGGTTCTCCATGTCCTGACTCTGCTGCTGCCCACCCCTCCCAGCTGCCCATCACCTTCCTCTGTGTACAGAGACAGTGATTTCAGTGAACTGTTCTAAGAAACAAGGTTTATTTCTTCTGATCCCTCCAGTCATCTGTCAGCTCCAAGCAGAGCTCTCCCCAAAAGCAGCGCTGGCAGCAGCAAGATCTAACCCACTTTTCAGCTCCTCTTTTAGAGAAGAGATGGATTGAGGCATTTATCACAGCAGGGCTTCCTCAATCAGAGAAAGACAGGTTTGGATTTCACTCCTTACTGAAGCTGTGGTAGTTGCTTGGCTCCCTGCCCCGCTCTTGATCGTGTCTATTGCCTGTGCAACAGAGGCAGAGCTGAAATTCAGCTATTCGTGCTGCTACCCAGCGACCGAATGAGGAACTGAGCTCTGCAGCACAGCAGGAGCCTGGTTTTGATCCAGCACCTTCATGGTCAGCCACAGCACAGCTCATTCCTCCCATGTGCTACTTACTGGTGCTTGTCTGATGCTGGAAAATAACCTTAAACTAATGTTTTGGGGTTTCTTTGAATCACCAAAACCATATTTACAGCCATCTTTGACTTGATTCTTTTGTACCCCCAGTCCCTCTTGCTGCTTATAGCTGTTCCTCATGATTCACTTTTCCTTCCTATTCTCCCCCAAGTTACCTTTCTACTACTGGGGATTTCTCAGAAACATTATGCTGCCAGAATTCACCTCTGTTCTTAGAAAGAGGAGCACAAGGACATTTGCCTTGGGGTTTTGGATTTTAGGGAAGGGTTTGTGTGTATGTGTTGTTTTTCCAGTTCTCAGGTTCATTGAAGACAGGCCTGCACCACATCATTGCGATTCCAGGTAAATGTTGTATAGAGCTGAGCTACAACAGAACAGGGCTCCCAGGAAAGCCTGTCTCCATCTCTAGCTATTTGGCTGATCCAACCTTAATGCTGCTAAAAGAGGCGGCAGCTGCTTCAGAGTTTCAGCCTACAATTACAAACTGTGTAATTATCTACAGCACTGCCTGGGATTATGTGTGCTTAAAACTGTTATGCAGCAGCAGTTAGTCTGGCACGATCAGTGTTGATGGCCTCTGTTGCTGGAAGTGGCAGGACCAGAGGTGGAGCTGACTTGTGGGCTGCTCATCTGCTCGCTGGCCACCTAGGAACCACTTGCTGGGCTTTGGTCTTGCTTCTTATTTTCTTTAATCAGCTTGGCTAACCCCATTTCCTTGCCATGGTGGAAGAACTAAACCAAACTGGGCAGGGGAATAGTAGGAGAGCTAAGCTCTGGTCTCATGCAGAGGGTTTGCTTGCTTTGTTGGCAGAGGTTGTTGAATTCTTCATAGCAGAGACCCCTGGACTGGCAGTCTGCAACTAGGGCTCTGGATCAGCACTTGGATGATGGTAACTGCAGTCCTTCAGCATTTTAAAACAGATGAGCGCTACTGATGGCCATGGTCTCAGGACCCCCAGCGACTGCTTAACTTCTGCACCCTCTACTGTTGATCCCTGGGAAACAAACCAAAACATCTCAGTACAGCTCTGGTCATGCTGTCAGCTCCCCAAACCAGAAGGTAGACAGTCCTGTGGTTAAGGCTTTCTGCTGAGGTACCAGTACACTGATCTGCATTGCCAAGGTGAGCACTGAGGAAGTTCCCTTGTAAGTATTAGTATGTCTGCTAATGGGACCTGAAATACTAAAGAAGATTTCCATAGCCCCTGCTCAGTGCAGCCCTCCATAAGCAGCACCAATTCAGGATGAGCCAGTTCCCTGCAGGGGAAGTGGGAGCATCACCTAATGTTCTCTTGTGGTGTTGCTGTCTCAAGGGTGACAGAGTGAGACACATTCCTGCAGAACATTCAGGATGGCTCCAAACGGGCACATCAGTATCATTCCGTATAATGGGGCTACAGCCCCGTGCATACAGGTCTGAGGGAGGTGTTTCCAGCAGATGTTCTGAAAGAGAAAGCCATTCACAGTGTTGAATGTGATGCTGGCGATTGCATGCATTGATAAAAGAGAGTGTGATGTGTGTGTGTGTCTGAAATCACTTCCTGAATTTTACTGAGTGTGTGCAAGGAAATTTCTGAGATCACCAGAAAATAAGAGGGAAAACATAGACTAAGTGTCCCCAGCTCACCACTAATGTGGTGTGCAAGGTGACATCACTCTTCTTCATTGCAGCTACTCCTCTATTAACTCCACTTGCTGGAAGCCCAGCCATGAAAGACATCTGGGTGGGTACCCCAGTGTGGAGGGACTCTGAGTAACACATTGCATCCAGACACTGCACTACACAGAGTGTGTCTGTGGCTCAGTTCAAAATGGACATGGACACAGCATAGATAACCTTTACTGGCTAGAGTTGTTGTCCTGCAGCAGGACCTGTGCTCTCTTGATCAGTACATGACTCCAACCCCAGTTCTTGCTAGTGTGGCCCTCGAGAGGAAGTGCTGGGGTTCTGTCATCTGGTTTGTGCCTCCTGTACAATGGGCTTTTTAGTTTTCTTCAATGACCTCACACCAATTTGGAGACTTCTCTTACTATCACTGCCTCTGTTCAGGAACAGAGAGAAAGTGTTGGAACTTTCCTGCAGGAGAAGGGTGCTAAAGTGGTAGAGAGAGCATGATTCATACCAGGGAATTCAGGGGGGAAAATCAGCACCAGTAACGAGTGACTGCAGCATGGGAATGTGCCACGAATTAACAGTCAGGGAAACAACCTAAAGGCACTGGCTGTATTCAGCAACAGGAACTAAAGGAGTTAGTGAGGAGCATGTTAATTGTGAGCAAATCATGTAATCCACATTGCAGTCAGTTGGGTTTTGTCTCTCTTATACCCAGTCTGCAGATGCTGAGCACACACCAAGTGGTGTGTGTTGCAGCCAGCAATAGCTCTTGCTCCTAAGCAGGTTACTTTGGGGTCAGCAGTGCAAGGATTCATGATCTGCAGCCTTCTTCCAGCTCTGTTATTACATAGATTCACTAGTCTGTGGATTCAGTGCATTTCAGCTCATGTCAATTTAATCATCAGGAACCTCCACAGCCCAAGACTGACTAAGAAAAGATTCTGATGCCATAGAGCATGCTGCACTATCACCTATTTCTTTAAGAGTGTGTGCTGACAGGACACATTTAAAATGCCTGTAGGTGATCTAAACCATTACCAGCTACCCCTCAGACAGCATGGGTTTAAAGGCATTCCCTTCAGGTCTTCCAGGACTAAACATGAGCACTGGGTTACACATGGAAGTAGGCATCTCCCTTGGCTGTTGCTTCTAGAAGCAGCCCATAGCTTTAGCAGAATTTACTCATTTGAAGAAAGGTGACATTTTCACATGGGGACAAATGTGACAGAGGGAGATTGACCTTGGTTTTTCAGGGTAGCACTTTAAAAAGGGCTGCTTGGTGGTTCAGCTCCAGGTACTGGGAAGTTACAAGCAGTCTTTAGAGGGCAAGGAGGGGCTGTGTCAGGAGAAATCCAGGTATCTGCAAAATACAATGTATTGTAAAGTGTTAACACATTTATTAATTGCATGTGGGCAGACACCCTCCCACAATTTACTGTACCAATGTCATTTCCACATTGTAAGTGCTATGAATCAGCCAATATGTGACATTAATCTGCATTTATTACTGTGCAAGCTGACATAATGACCAGTTATGGGCTAACACATCAGGAACTGTTTAGTGAAGTACAGAAGCAACCCCCCAGTTTTCTGAAGCACCCTGGAATTATCCTGTGCGTGCTGTATCTACCCAAATCCTACTTATGTCCAACAGGCACATCCTTCCACAGCTGAGAGGTGCAACATGCATTGCTCAACACCTCCAGCAGCAATGCCACGTGCAGGTTCCATGGTGGTGGCTCTCTTCCTACCATCATGTACGGTTCACAGCTTCTTCTCTAGGTCACCTCTTTCTGGCAATGTTTCTTCATGAAGTTCCAGGAAGCTGCTTCACGGGTGCCTCACCTCCTTTGTTCACCCATAACTGGGAACACAAGGTGTTTGTCTTCCAGTTCTGTGGCATATGACCACTTACTTTCAGGAAGTGTTGGGAAAAATGCCGAAAGAATGAGAAACTGAACATGAGCCGGCTGCAGTGTGTGCTCACAGCCCAGAAAGCCAACTGTATCCTGGGCTGCATCAAAAGGAGTGTGACCAGCAGGTCGAAGGAGGTGATCCTGCCCCTCTACTCTGTTATTGTGAGACCTCACTTGGAGTATTGTGTGCAGTTCAGGTGTCCTCAACATAAAAAGGACATGGATCTGTTGGAACAAGTCCAGAGGAGGCCACGAGGATGATCAGGGGACTGGAGCACCTCCTGTATGAAGATAGGCTGAGAAAGTTGGGGCTGTTCAGCCTGGAGAAGAGAAGGCTGCGTGGAGACCTCATAGCAGCCTTCCAGTATCTGAAGGGGCCTATAGGGATGCTGGGGAGGGACTCTTCATTAGGGACTGTAGTGACAGGACAAGGGGTAATGGGTTAAAACTTAAACAGGGGAAGTTTAGATTGGCTATAAGGAGGAAGTTCTTTACTGCAAGGGTGGTGAGGCACTGGAATGGGTTGCTCAAGGAAGTGCTAAATGCTCCATCTCTGGCAGTGTTCAAGGCCAGGTTGGACAGAGCCTTGGGTGCCATGGCAGGGGGGTTGGAACTGCATGATCTTAAGGTCCTTTCCAACCCTAACTGTTCTATGGCTCTAATTTAGGATATTTGGCCTAAAAAAAAAAAAAAAGAAGAGTCAGAAACAACACCCAGAATGAAGATTTCTCTGGAGACAGTGGAAGTGCCCATTCCCTGTGCCCACTGCAAACAGGGCAAGGAATAAATCGTCTGGTGTACATATTAGTAAGATCTTCCTAATGATACAGAGAGATGAGTCTTGGAACAGCGCAGGAAGGTTTGTACTTTTCTAAAGTTCAAAGAGCTTAGGCAAGCCTTGGGAAGGAAAGGGTGAGGGTGACATCCTCGGTGCATATTCTTGAACTAGATGATCTGTGATTTCAAGATTTGGGCCTAGAGGCTGTCCTGGCAGAATGACACAGTTACAGAGCTTGAAGAAGCCCTGTATGGTGATAGCCCAGCATCTCATCCCTCAGAGACTCCTTAGCCAGAAATGGATTTGTTGTGCTCAAAGAGATGGTGTGGAGTGAAGGAATCCCACAGCAGCTTTGGAGAAGAGCTTCCAGGGAATGTGTTTTCTTCCATTTTCAGCCTCTGTAGTCCCAGAACTGGGGTTTCCCTCCGTCTTTATGCAGAATTCAGGCCTTTGAACACCACTGAAACAGAAATAGCAAAAGGTGATTCTTTCCCACCTTGAGAAATAAGCATGTCCCAAACACTCTTATCTCAAAAGCAGAAGAGACAGGCTGTGGAAACATGCAGGCTGGAAATAAGCTTTTGAATAGGAGCTGAGTCAGAAGAGCTTGTATAAATATTGATGTTGGTTTGTTTTGAGTTACTGCTGCTGATTTCATCTTTGGTTACATCTAATTTTATAATGATTGTTTAAAAGTCCAGACTGGATTTTAAAAGAGATATACAAAGCATATTTGTCAAATTTACTACTGGAGTAAGTTTGCTCTAATGATGATTTTAGTGAGTCTAGTTTCTTACTGTAGTAGCCGACTTGGCCTAATTCAATTGGAAGCTGGACATATACCTCTTTTGGGTCAAATCCACCTTAATCAAATCTCTCAGTATCAATAATCCTATGCCTGCTAAACCCATTAGTTATTTTGGTTGTGTCTGGCAAGATAAAGCTCTCTGTATTCAAAACCAGTGATTGAGTTTGTTCCCACATCACTGTATATTAATGCAATCTACCTCACAGGGGGGTTGGAAATACATGATCCTTAAGGTCCCTTCCAACCCCAAACATTCAGTGAGTCTATAACAGATGTATGTAAATACACCTGCACACAAACATGTATGTACAAATGTGTACGTACCCATATAGAGAACAGGTACATGTCCTGCCTACACACCTCATTGCTTCTCTAAGCAACAGAGGTCACTGTCGTACAGGACAAAGCTCCCTTTTGGCATCCACTTAAAGGCACCCCTGCAGGCAGGTCCATATCAAGCACCAACACCTTTTAAGTGTGATATTAGCTGAAAATCCAGTCATGTTTCTATGATAGCAATGGAAGCAAGATGTATTCACAAATAAATGTTTGCAGGAAATGTCCTTGTTTGGGAAACGAATGAGCACTTGGTCGGGAAATTCTGTGGTACCAGTGACATCCCCGTGGTACTTGGTGGCATCAAAACTCTTCCACTGAGCTCTGTTTGCACTGGGATGAGTGCACATGCCTTTATATGCACCATTTCTCTGTTTTTCCCAGCTGCCTTTACCAGTAACACTTTCACAGAGCAGGCCAGCCCTCCTCTCTCCCAAATCCATTCATTTATTCATCACTTAGGGCTTATTTTGGTTGCCAATGAACCCAAAGGTGCTCCAGACACATACTTCTTCTCCAACCAGCTCTTTTTCCTGTCATTCCTTGAATGTATTTTTGTGGCTGTAACATAAGAGGGGCATAATACAAAAGGAGGCCTCACTGAATCACTGCACAACACTTTTTCACCAGCCAACAGTACAGCTCTCAGCTTGCCTTTGCCTTTCTGTAGCTATGGGAAAACATGGCTTTGTTCCAGATGGAGGTTGTTTCCACACCCCTAACTCATTAGGAGTTTGGCATAAAACAATGTAATTCAGTGTAAAGAGGTGAGCAGAGGTGTGAAGCAGCACTTACTACTGAAGTACAAAGTACGCATAATGCAGAGGTTTCATAAATGATCTGATGCTCAGGTTTTTTCATGTAACTCAGTTGCATGCTAACATGAAATACAAGCCAAACACATAGCATCCATGTCACCAAAATAAGTTATTGGGACATAAAATGAAAATGAAATCCACATTCCAAGTTCTTTGTACTTCAGCAACAGAAGATGCCTGGCAGCTTTAGAAGACAGAGACTATCTCCATATTCTAGGTACCACATTCTTCCCCTGATCTGTTCCCTTAAACTTTGGCACTTACTTAATCACTGAGGTCTTTTCTTCAGGAACATGAGCAGCCTTTAACATGGAAGGTATCTGAATGTGGAATCCTACAAACAGTAAGTTTCACCTAAAAAAAAGAGAGACATTTTTATAGCTTGTTACATCTGGTCAACATCTGTGCTACTACCTGACTTGTATTTTAACTAGCTAAATGAAAATGCCCTATTAAGACAGATGAGTGTTTTTTTCATTGCTGAGACTGGCTTTCTTCTCTTTAGATGGCAACAGCATGTGATAACCTCAACTTTCTTGGCAAATTCAAATATGAATGAGTTCAGGTGTGGGTCAGAGAACCTGGATACTGAAATACGAGTCCAACCGAGAGGCACATAGGTAGTAACATGTAGTAGATCACAGTGGTGTTAAGGCACCCCTTGGAAATGTCCCACCCTCTTCCAAAAGGTGGTATCACACAAGGAGATGTGTAGTGCTTGATACCCAACAGGGGGTAGGAGTCTAGGGCTCTGCCCTCAGTACCCAAAACCACTACAAGCAACAGCATTCACTGCAGGCAATTGTTTATTTCCCAAAGTTTGCAAATCACAGGCCTCAGGCAAAAAAATACCAAGTAACTTTAATTTACTAATTGCTCAGTAGTATCTCTTGGGATTGCTCAGACTCCTTGAGATTAAGTCCTCAGACACAGCAGTGCTGACCCTGCACTCCCCAAATAGCCCAGGAATGAGTGATGCTACATCAGAATGATGCTGGTGAGCTCGTTGGTACTGAAGTTGCTCATGCCAATCTTAAATCAGAGTAAAGTGGTTTGATTGGAGGCACTAGAAATGTAAAAGGCAACTTCCTTTCTCATTTGTCTTTATTCATTTGACTCTCACCTTCAGGTTAGTCAAGCTTACCTCCTTTCTCATGGACCTGCTGATGAAGAAATAAGCCTCCTCCACATTCTGGGGCTGCAGATCATTCACAGCCACTATATGGTCTCCGTGGTTAAACAAGCATCCCACTTGGTGAGGACCAGTCCACTGGGAGACACTAGGGCATTTGGAGAACAAACAATAAAGGAAATGCATGGGATACCCAGTCACTGCTAACAGAACGTCAATGGATGAACAGGACTGCATTTATGGTACTGCCCTCTGGATTGAACCTGGAACACACAGGTTCAATGACTTTGCAACCTTTTGATCTGGTTCTAGCTGAAACCAAGCTGCTTCACCCATCCCAACAGCTTCTCCTAAACAGCACATGACACTGACACTGCAGCATGTTAACAAGTGAGACTGGTGCTAGCAAGTTCACCAGTGAAAGTCAGGGATTGCAGTCCAAAAGACTTGCTGTAGATGTTTTAGCCCAAAGTTTGCCTGAGATGGTTTCTGAAGTAATTCCAAAAGAATTAAATTAAAACTTATTAACATGTGTTTTATCTATGATATAACTGCAAGAGATCCATTGCTGTCCTGATGGGACCTTTTTGAGACCTCACTTAGATTACTGTGTGCAGTTCTGGTGTCCTCAACATAAAAAGGACATGGAACTGTTGGAACAAGTCCAGAGGAGGCCACGAGGATGATCAGGGGACTGGAGCACCTCCCATATGAAGATAGGCTGAGAAAGTTGGGGCTGTTCAGCCTGGAGAAGAGAAGGCTGCGTGGAGACCTCATAGCAGCCTTCCAGTATCTGAAGGGGGCCTATAGGGATGCTGGGGAGGGACTCTTCATTAGGGACTGTAGTGATAGGACAAGGGGTAATGGGTTAAAACTTAAACAGGGGAAGTTTAGATTGGATATAAGGAGGAAATTCTTTCCTGTTAGGGTGGTGAGGCACTGGAATGGGTTGCCCAGGGAGGCTGTGAATGCTCCATCCCTGTCAGTGTTCAAGGCCAGGTTGGACAAAGCCTTGGCTGGCATGGTTTAGTGTGAGGTGTCCCTGCTCATGGCAGGGGGGTTGGAACTGCATGATCTTAAGGTCCTTTCCAACCCTAACTGTTCTATGGTTCTATGGAAATTCCAATTTCTCTTTCCTGCTGATCTCTGATAGACTCTCCAAGCTATTTAGGATTAACTGACCTGACAGCCACTCATTCACATCTGACAGGCACCATCACAAGACATCCAGAACTCACCATATTTGTCCTGCTGCTTCGGTAAGCTTTAGGTAACTGTTAATATCAGCCAGGGGGACGAAAACATCCAACTTCTGCAGCTGGGTCTCATCTTTGATTTGACTGTGAGGGAAAACATCAGAGACCATAGGGTGACAGGACATCTCAAGTTAGAAGGGATCCATAAGGACCATCAAGTCCAACTGCCTCATAGAACTACCTAAAACTAAATCATATGACTGAAAGTGTCATACAGATGCTCCTTGCACTCTGAAAGGCTTGCCATGCTCTACCAGTGCCTCAGCTGAAACCCATGAACATGCCTATGCTCTCTGCAATGAAAATGGAGAAGACACTCACCTGAGCAGTATAGACAGCTGAACCACTGACAGTGGTGATGAATTTCGCCTTCTCTGGAGGGTTGGCTGCTGGCTGGTGCTGTTTTCTGGGAATTGTAGGTCTCTGTTTGCTTCCAAGTCTCTTGGACACGTGCTGTTGTCCTGGCATTCGGGAAGAGATGGGAGCCCATCATGTCTGCACGTGAGCTGGCAGCTCTCATCCAGCAACCTACTGAAGAGGCACAGTGATAACAAATGAAGTGGTTTGACCATTCCAGGCACTCTTGCTGTGTTTGTAGCTGGATCAAATAGCCATCAGTGAAGCAAAGAATAACAAGTTCTTGTAGAATATCCAGTGGACAAAATTACAGCTAAATAAAATAAACAGTCCTTCTAAAAATGGACCATAAATCCCAAAATAAACCTTTTCAGTATTTAAAGACTATTTATTAAGCCTGAAAACATTCCAGCTAACAACATGCCTGGATAAAGAAACTGAGTGCAGAGTGTTGGCCTTGGCTGTGCTGGCTTCTGAAGGGATTTAACACTGTCCCCTGGGAGATACAGGGGACATAACTCCTACGTGCTTGAAATCATTTTAGGTTTATTTGATGAGCCTTACAGTGCCTGGAGCCAGATCCCATCCACACCCCAAACAAGACTGGGGTTCATAGCAAAAGCTGGTATATTTTAACTTGAATGGCATTGATTTGTGACAGCTTTATAGTAATTCCCTCCAGGGGCTGCCAAAGAGACAGATGAGCTTGAATAGATCTATTGGAATAAACTGGTTCATGTGTCTCCAATTGCCTCCCACTATGGGGCATAAGAGCTGACTGTCAGTAGGTGGCAGGCTACAGCTAAAAGCTAAGGACGAGTCCTCTGGGTCAGGAGGTACGGTTTTATTGCGAAGGCACCCATCAGTGTACTGCGCTAGACCGTGGACGTTGTAGTTTCCTTGTGGCATTAATGCTGTGTTACAAAGTTCAGCTCTTTGTTTGTGACATGCCAAAACATTGTAGTCAGCATCAGACCTGCTCTTTGAAGAGAAACAGGAAGGAAGGAAGGGAGGAAGGAAGGGAGGAAAGGAGGAAGGGAGGAAGGGATGAAGGGAGGAAGGGAGGAAGGAAGGAAGGAAGCAAGGAAGGAAAGGGAGGAAAGGGAGGAAGGAAAACAACCTACTCAGGATCACAGAACTTCTCCCTGGGAAAGCTTGGAGCTTTTCCAGTCAGTTTTTCCCCAAGTCTATCTTTCTTTCTCTTTTAACCACCAGATAATGCTGCCTATTTGGAGAGTACCTGTCCGAAGGGTTGTTGTGCCTCGGCTACAGGACCTGAGTGAAGCAGGGGGTTGTTACATCATGAAAACCTAAGCAAAGTATGAGCCAACAGAAAGTGCTGCATTGTATAGCCAGAGCACATCTAAATGCATGAGTCTGCAATGTGAGTTTCAATTTCACCTTGATGAGTTTGAGTTTCATTCCCGGTATTGCCACGAGTTCTCAACTTTCTGAACCAAGGCCAAAGAAGGATTCACTCAAACAAGATGCAGCCTCTAGATATTGTTATGTAAATACCACAGATGACAGCTCTATCTGTACCACTTTGTCACTTAGTGCACAAACCTTAATGAAGTTGTGACTTACAGTGATTTCATTGGCATATAAATGTTCTCCTGTACTGGGTTTGTCTGCACTGCTTTCTCTTGCGCATCAAATCCAGCTGTAGGGTCAGGCTTTGATACCTCAGTAGTCCACTGCTTAAAACACGTAACATAAGACATTAACATCATTGCTCTGCCTGGAGAGAAAATCTTAATTCCCTTGTTTGGTTCAGAGATTTAGATTGGATATAAGGAGGAAATTCTTTACTGTAAGGGTGGTGAGGCACTGGAATGGGTTGCCCAGGGAGGTTGTGAATGCTCCATCCCTGGCAGTGTTCAAGGCCAGGTTGGACAAAGCCTTGGCTGGCATGGTTTAGTGTTGTTTAAGCACATCAGCTAATACAGCTTGGCTGTACAGTCCTGGGAGGGAGGCTGTAACCTCTGCAGTGTAGCTTCTCCTGACCACTAGCTACATGGGAAGCCTGGAGGAATGAGCCTCCCAGATCAGAGGCAAAATTTGTTTAAATTACCAGTATGATTCCTCCTGCTCCCTTGTTCACAGTGAAAAGTAGGTACCAAAGTACTTTACAGTGCTTTTAAAGCACTGGTTTGTTTTATGCAGCTTTTCTACCAGAAGGCTCCTTTGAAATGAGTCCACTGTATTTTTTTCTTGTGCAAATGAAATCTCTGTTCCCTTCTGCTTTATCTGTGTATTTCTATTGCAAGGTACTAGTGGCTCCTTATACAAGTTCCTCTTTGGCTCATTAAATGTCATCTGTCTCCTTGGAGATGCTAGCAAACCAACAGAAAGAAAACAACTGACAAACTACCTGTGCTAAGATACTGCTGGGAGTTTGGTAATAATCTTCTTCGTCCTTTTTGATGTCTTCATCTGTATCTGACGACAGCAGGTTTTCCTCACACTTTCCCAGAGTTTTATCCTGTTAAAAGAACGGGTTTGTATTTAACAGGGTCAGTTACACAGCTTGTTTAAGATGTATTTTTTTAATCTATATGGAGAAGTAATAGCATCAGCAAGCATCCACAGAAAACACGGAAAAACATGTTTCTCTTTGAAGTGAGAGATGCTCAGAGCCAGTCTGGTTTAGAAACAAGGTGTCTATGTTTGTATTTTTGAGATGCACTGCACACAGACAAAACTGGCTACTGGTGTTATCGCATTAGTACTTCTCATAGATGGGTTTGTGGTAACCAGGCAATTGAAATTGTTTGTGTGTTCACAACCTGCTTAAAAATCAAGTGAGTTAAAACACTTCAGGTATGAACCTGCAGGCATTTAAGGTCGCTTGAGTTCTAAAGTCTTTGCACTAGGAAAAAGATCTATGGAAAACCTAGAAGTGGATCATGATGCATTTGTCCTTTTTAAGCACCTTTTAATTGCTTTCAAGTACAGAATGAATTTGGGACTTCCTTGACTAAGGAGAAGTCTAATAGCTCATACTTCTCCATGAACTAGAACATACAGTGGAGGGCTGGAGATCTGACACAGAATCCTTTGTGTCCTGAGTGATTCTGCTTTCACAGATACTTGAAATTCTAAGTTTGTGGCAGTTTGGTAAATCAAGGAGAAATTAATCCCTCCACCACGTTTACCTTTCTAAGTCACAAAGACAAATGACTGATTTTCATATCTCCTGGTTGACTTCACTGTAGTGAAGACTATGGTAATTGGTATTTAGCTGCCTCCCAATGCAATTCTTCACGCCATGTTTGTGATGCAACCTCTTTTTATCTCTTCATTTACATTCTTGGTTTCCATGGTGATCGCTTTAATAATTGCTAAATATGCCACAGAATATATTACTGTTTTCAAGGTAAATGAAACTAATTACTCTCTTACATGTAAAGAGAGGAAACTGGCATCGAATAGATATTAAAGATGATGAATGTATTTTTGTTCCCTGGTATAAACAACATACAAAGCAACTCATGCAGTAGGAGTCAGAACAAACCTGCAAAGATCCTTCAAGAGGTGCATAACAAACCCACAGCAGGAGCAAAGCTGGCTCTGTAGTCATGATCCAAAGTCATGAATGAGTTTCCCAGTGGCTTTTCAGGGGCTTTGGGACAATCGAACAAGTAACACTTGAGGAGAAGGGGGAAGAGGAAGTGATTTTTATGAAGTCGTGAGATCCTCCAGCTCCTAGGAAATCTCAGAGAGCTGAGAGCACTCACCAGCTTCCCCAACTGAGCCTTCAATCACAGGCAGTGGCTACCTTTTGCTAAATGCTTAGTGTTTCTCCTTGGTACCATTGCAGATTACAGGGACAGTGGAAAGGAGAAGGTTAAGCTGCAGCAGCACTGCATTGCCACGAAGCAGTCTGTGGACGTCCCTGTTCCTCCAGGTGTTTTACCACCAGAGAACTGCAGTTAACCTCAATGTATAGTTAATACCAATTGAACAGCTAAACAAGCTCTTTATGCCTCTGTTGAACCATGATCTGTTGGAACAAGTCCAGAGGAGGCCACAAGGATTATCAGGGACTGGAGCACCTCCTGTATGAAGATAGGCTGAGAAAGTTGGGGCTGTTCAGCCTGGAGAAGAGAAGCTGCGTGGAGACCTCATAGCAGCCTTCCAGTATCTGAAGGGGGCATATAGGGATGCTGGGGATAGACTCTTCATTAGGGACTGTAGTGATAGGACAAGGGGTAATGGGTTAAAACTTAAACAGGGGAAGTTTAGATTGGATATAAGGAGGAAATTCTTTCCTGTGAGGGTGGTGAGGCACTGGAATGGGTTGCCCAGGGAGGTTGTGATTGCTCCATCCCTGGTGGTGTTCAAGGCCAGGTCGGACAGAGCCTTGGGTGCCATGGTTTAGTGTGAAGTATCCCTGCCCATGGCAGGGGGGTTGGAACTGGATGATCTTAAGGTACTTTCCAACCCTAACTATTCTATGATTCTATGATGTGGAATTACATTAGAGAGCAAGTAGACTATGGAGAAAATTTGTTGTAGCACAAGATGGACATGATACCTGGATAACAACTGAGTAATTGTTAATTATAGGCTCCTCAGGGAAAGTTACGTGTTGCACTTGGGCAGAGGAACTGATCAAAATCTCTGTCTGTGTCTAAAAGATCCTGACAAGGATGCCTAGCTGCCTTCAACACAGTAATGCTCAGTGTAGGGTGATGCAAGTCAGGGCTCCTTACTTTGATGTATTTCAGGTATTTAAAGCTGTGTATCAAAATAGCTGACACTGAACTGCTGAGTCAGATTTGGTTTGGTAGGTCCAAAAAGCGAACTGAAAGGGAGCCAGGTCCCCAGTCCTCTGCAGGGTCCTTGCCTGTGTGACTAGACTTGGCTGACATTGGAAGGCCTGTGTGTGCATGAGTAATGGCTACTGAACAAGGCCTGGGCCTGGATGAGGGAACCACCAGTAAAAAGCAAAACCCATCAGATGCTAGAAATGTGGAGTCATACTTCTGAAAGGAAGTAAATACAAGGGATTAATGCAGAGATCAGCTGTCTATAGACATCACTGAGCAGAGAATAGATCTGGAGATGTTAGCAGATGCTGAACTTATGAGGCAACTGAAGTATTTTTATCGAATGGACAAACATTTTTGTTCCTTGTTAGCTGTATGGCAAGGTCAGTTATTTTCACACATGCTGAAAGAGAAAGACGAGCTTCCTGCTATTGCCTCTGCTTCAGGCTAAAAAGGTAAAATACAGATTCCTTGTATTTTAACCCTCATGGTCAGTCTGTCTTGTGTCTAGACAGCTGCATGCAATACATATAATACACGCTCTCTGAGGCATCATAAGTATGAGGAGAATTAACGAATGAGACAGAAAAAGCATGCATAAGGAGGAGACAGAAAGACAGCCTTGGTTTGCATCCATAGGAGCAGTAGTTAAAGTCAGACTAAGGGTTAACCCAATGCATTTCAGAGCTCAGACTCACAGTTGAATTACTGCAGCTTCATAAAGCACTGTGTATCAGCTTAGCTTTGCTAACAGCCCATGGCATTCCAATGTCGTTTCAACTATTTTCACTTCTTTACGCTAAATTTAGCTGTATTATCTCATAGGTGCTGCCAGCCCATATGCATGGATGGTGACTGCAACACGTGAATTACCACACTGTTAGCTATGACAGCAGAAATTCTCTAGATCATAGCCCAATGCATAAACTGCCAATAAATATTTGGGTTTAAACTCAGCTGCCAAACTGCATTCAGGTGTGGTACACCTTTGGTTGCACCTTCTGTTCCGTTGAGAATGATCAGGGGCCTGGATCACCTCCCATATGAAGATAGGCTGAGAAAGTTTGGGCTGTTCAGTCCGGAGAAGAGAAGGCTGCGTGGAGACCTCATAGCAGCCTTCTAGTACCTGAAGAGGGCATATAGGGATGCTGGGGAGGGACTGTTCATTAGGGACTGTAGTGACAGGACGAGGGGTAATGGGTTCAAACTTAAACAGGGGAAGTTTAGATTGGATATAAGGAGGAAATTCTTTCCTGTTAGGGTGGTGAGGCACTGGAATGGGTTGCCCAGGGAGGTTGTGAATGCTCCATCCCTGGCAGTGTTCAAGGCCAGGTTGGACAGAGCCTTGGGTGATATGGTTTAGTGTGAGGTGTCCCTGCCCATGGCAGGGGGGTTGGAGCTTGATGATCTTAAGGTCCTTTCCAACCCGAACTATTCTATGATTCTGTGATTCTATGACTCTGCTGCGAATTGAGAGGATGGGTGAGAATCACCTGATTGCTGCAGGAGTTTGCTCAGGAAACGCAGGTCAGAACGTTCAGCTTATAATACACAGTACCATTCATCACTGTGCCTTCTTGGATCATCCCTGCCAGATACGGAAGCTAAATTACCTGAAGTCATATTAATGCTGACGGAAGGTCAGCCCTGAGGTGTGCCTTGATTTAACAAATCTGTGTTCTGTAGTTCAGCAGTTCAGTTTGATTGATTGAACTGCTACTGGCAGAGGCTGCAGAAAGAAAGCATTTAGGAAGATTGTGGCACGGATGAGAAATGCAATGGAAGGAGCAAACCCTCAAGCAGAGCAACCTGGGAGTCTTTAAACAAGTTCTTAGAAAGTTATTTTCAGTGCTAAACAAGACAACAGGCAAAATATGTAGGAACCTCTCATAGTGAAAACCAATTCAGCGTGCTGGGAAAGTATCATCTATAGTTACAGGCGAGACAAGAGCCAACAGTGGCTTCTGCAGACTGAATAAGTAAAGAGCTGTTTGATTTGTTCTGCTCACCAGACTTGGAAAAATTCCTCTTGGTGAGTCACACTGAGCCTGATGAGGGCCAGGGTCTGAGTTAGGCCTGTTCTTGTCTTCTGAGGAACCATTCTCCTATATACAAAAGGAAAGAAGTTGACTCCTGAAGGAAGGTACACTGGAGGTGCTTCATCTGCACTCAGCTTCCTCTGGCTAGGCCGTGTGCATACAGCTTCATGACTAGAGAAAACCCAACAATTCCTTGGCTGCTATTTAGTCTGTCACCAGAGGATGAGGACTGCAATTGCTTTGGGACAGAAGCAATGCTTTCCTTCCTGTCTATTTAAATACTGAGGGGGAAGATCTGATCTGGAAGGCACAGAGAAACTGAATCTGAACTCCCCTCTAAGTGTTACAGCCTGAAGAGAGAGACAGAGAAACAGCACAGTCACAAAACAGGAGGAACGTGGCTTGCAGCTGCCAAAACAAACATCACACAGCTTTGCCAAGGCATGTCAAAGCTAATCTTCAGGGGCTTATTTCATGCCTGCTAATCTTTGCCAGTCAGTTGAGACAGCAAGCGAGTATCATTTCTCATCGCCATCAACACCTGCCTTTACTTACATGCAGACTTCCCTCAAAAGTCTTTCCTTTCTGGGCACTTCCTGACGTTATCATCTAGCTCCTACTCAGGAACCTCATCAGAGAGCAGAACAGGCCACCTGGGCACCCACGGCACCAGCTCTGAAGAACTTGTGGTGGAAAAAGTCAACTATACAAATCAAATATCACAGTCACCCCTCAGAGCAAGCTCATTGTAAGCATGGCTCATCTGGTTACCTTCTGGTAGCTCTGCCTTTCCACGATACTGGTCGTATCTATAGAATTTAAGAACAGTGGCAAGGAGGAAGGCCGGCTTCTGACTTCTGAGTTTGGAGGATCTTGGGTCTAGAAGTGAGATAACAGCAGTGTAAAAAGACAGGTACCTGGTGGGCATGGGCTACAATATACCAACGCATTCCACTAGTCTAAATCTTCACTTCTAACGGCTCAGAGATGTTGTCTACCTGACATTTTTCAGTCAATAGATTTGCTCTGCTTGCACTTTGAGCTGGCTGAAAGCTGCAGGGATGTAAGTAGCTTAGCGCTGAGTCTGAATAGCAGGCCTGGCTGGCTGACAAGGTGAAGAAACTTGAGTCTGAGCTTGAACTAATAATAGGGCTTCAGCTGGTTCATAACACAGACAGAGTAGATGTGGGTTGGTTTGTAAAACAGCACATAAATATAACTAAAAAGCATGCAGTAAGATAGCACCCAGGCTTGCATTCTGACTCATCAAGGTGCCATTCACTGCAGCATGTCAATCATCTCCTAATTTCCGTGTAGCTTACTCTTCAATGAGATTCTTTCAATGTCAAATCAATCCCAGCAGACAGACTGTGCAGCACCTGCTTAATGCATAAAACCAGGGTACAAGATTTATATGGAAAATGAATTTCTGATTAAGCAAGGCAAGGGCCAACTTGCAAAGCCAAAATCAGGTTTCTAATGACATTACAAACTTCGTTCTTTCTAACACCAAGTGCAGAAACGTGTCACCTGAGGGCAGCATCCACCCCTTTTGGCCTCCTTGCAGACTGAAGATATCACAGTGACCCAGTCCTCTGTTTCCTGCCTGTAGTTTGGAACAATAGAAGTGAAAACCTATTCACAGGTAAAGCACAAGGAAAGCCTACCTACTTCTTCCTATGGGGCCGAAAACAATGCTTCCTGAAATCAATGGGGAAAATGTGCACTTTCCTTTCAAAAGGGAGTGCTGGGTTTGACTTCAGAGAGATGCAGCCCAATATTGGGAGCTAAAAGGTATTCAGGAGGGAATAGTATGTGTGTGTGCAAGAGACATGGAGATGGAAAGAGATGGGGAGGGGGGACCATGCTTTCTACTTCATTTTCTGTGTGTAATGCTGCCCTGTTGAGTCCTGCCTTAAACACAGCTAGCAAGGCTTGGGAATGCATTTGGGCTAGCAGGATGAGAAACATGCCATGGAAGGCATGTTCCTGCTCCGGCAGGGGATTGGACTAGATGATCTTTTGAGGTCCCTTCCAGTCTGTAACATACTGTGATACTGTGATACTGTGAAGGACCCCGGAAGCCCTGTTTCATGCTTGTGGTGGGTTTAGCTGGATTAATTCCAGACCACTTCCCACCAATCATGGGCTGTGAGAGCAGTGCCCTGGGGGAAAGCATGAGGTGGCACGCTTAAGTGGCACACAGGTATGTGTTTGTCTTCGGCACTTACCAGCATTTCACACATCAGCTGCTCTTCTGCCTGAAGGCAGAAAACCCCCTGACACGCCTGTGGCTGGGAAACTGAAGAGGAAAAGCGGGAAGCAGCAGCAGAGGAGCCCTGTGCCAAATGCTCTCCATCACCTAACCGAGCTTTGGCTCATCACCTCGACAGCAGCAGTGTCTGTCCCTGCTGAGGACTGGATTGCAGCCTGGGAAAGCAGGGAGCACACCATCCTGCTGCAGTAAAGGCCCCAGGCATTCCTCTTTGGATCTGTTTTCACTTGGGGGAATTTTCCAGCGATTTATCCACAAGGAGCAGAAGCTTTCCTAACTCCCAGCAGCCACTGAGTGAGAAGACAAAGCTCTCTGCTCTTCCTTGACCCTTAATAGTACAGTTTGACATGGCACTGCCACACTGATGTGCTGCCACCATCCCCATTCCCAGCCATGTGCTCCTCCTACTTCCTTGTGTTGGACATTGTAAGTGTGGATGCAGGGAAGGTTAGCTCGCCTACCTGAACCAGCAAAACATTAACCCAGCCATGGGGGGAAAATGGTACAAGAAAGAGCAGTTTTCCATTGAATCAACCACTGATCAGCCATCCCAGAGCTGAGCAGTCAGTAGCTGAGACACAAGAAGGGATGGAAGCACCTGGGAGGGAGCTGGACCTTCCCTTGGGGCAGTGGCTTAGTGTTACATTATCTTAACTGTAATGTCTGTACTTGCACATCTTTCTATGCCTACCTGCTGCTCCCAATGAGGTAGTAACACCTGTTTCCAGTGCTGACGGACATCACCTGCTCAGGAAGGCATTTAAACATCTTCCTCACCATCTCCATCATTTCGGATTTGCTGATGCCAACTTCAATATTTATGATTCTGTTAAGAGAACATGCGGAACATCCTATATAACTATACATACATAGATAAAAACATACACACACATGTGTGTATGTGTGTATATTACTCTAAGCACAGCATAATATGGTGGGTCCTGCATGGGAAAAGGTAAACAAAAGCATCCTTAAGATAATAAGCACACACAGTCAAAAGACATGGTCTTTCAGTGAAGAGAACTTCCAAGCAAAAGAATAAAATTGACTTTAGCAGACTTGTGTCCAGATTTTGGACCTATAAAAGGGGCTGTTGGTCTAATACAGTCTTGAAAAGAAATGAGTCAGAAAAACTCCTGGCAGATGTCTTTGAACCACTGCAGAACAATACATTTGATTTGAAATGAATTGTGTATTAACAGTGTTTCAACGGAGGGGAAGAGGAACAGAGTGTTCCTCTTAATGGATGCTTAAATGTAAGCACTACTTCCATTAACTCCCAAGAAGTTAAATGAGTAAAAATAACACCAACAATGCTGATGGTAATAATGTAACCACATCCCACTGAGCAAATTGGAATTTCTTTGAAAGGTTCACAATGTAAATCCTTTTAATGGAAAAAGCACAATAGCAATGGGAGTACAGTGACCTCCATGCCTAACAATTCCAGAAGCCTGGAGTATTAAGCTCAAGGTCTAACTGGTAAAATCTTTAACTTTACATTTCCCTTTACATTTACTCTTTCCTTTCCAAGTATCTCATACCATATGTAACATGGTGAAGGGTGCTAGTTCAAGACCAATGACACATAGCCTTGCTGCAGTGCGCACAGTGCTGAGGGGAATGAATATTCGGTTGATACGCTGGAGGGAAGGAATGCCATCCAGAGGGACCTTGACACGCTTGTGAGGTGGGCTGATGCCAGCCTCATGAAGTTTAACCATGGCAAGTGCAAGGTCCTACACATAAAAAAGTGACGCATTTAGTTACATACTGATCAACAGCTATGGAGCCTTTTATGTTCTGGCCTTTCAGATACTTCAGGATGTAACTGCCCTTGCTGGATTTGGACAAGATGAAGAAACGCCTTTTCCAGGAATTCTGATGAAGAGAAAGTAATTTGTGTCTTGTTAGATTCCAGGACAGCAAAAATAACAGATGCTTGCTGAGAGATTGCTGGAATATGACTAATCTGTGCTAGTTTACCTGTGAGCTGAAAAGCTGAAGAGGTGGTGATTTGATGAGGAATCCGTGCTTGCACACTCCACCTTCAGGGCAAAACATATCTGCAGTTCTCACTAATCCAAGGGAAATGAACAGCACCATTATTTTGTTGGCAATTAACCTCTTACAAAGACCTGGAAATTGTTGCTGAGCACTGGGCTTCTGTCCTTAAATGCACATAAATTACATTACAATTACAGAAGACAAACAGAAATCAAGACTATAAAATATAAGGCCAGACCATGCTTCCCTGATGTCAACATTACTGCTGGCCACTGTCCCAGACTGTAAACAAGTGATAGTGACAATACAGGGAAGATATCATGGAAGGTATCATGAGCATCTGTCTTATTTAACTGGTCTTACTTAACTTCTGGAGTCTGGTCTTATTTAACTTCATAATTAGGGACCTGAAAGACAGTAAGCAGCCCCTCTTGAAACCTGTTCACTTTGGATAGGTTGCAGACACAGACACTGTGAATCATGTTGTGACAACAGGAAAAGTCTTTAAAACACGAGGGGGGGTGGGAAATGCCTGAATGTATTCATGTGTACTCTGTAGCCAGTTGTAGTTTAGGATTCATGTTTTCCAGTCACTGATCACAATCTCACTTTTATTAATGCACCTTAACTTCCAATGAAAGGACAGGCAGTGTCATTCAATTTTTTAAGCTATAAACCATGTATGGGAAATTAAGATTTCTGAAGACTTCAGTGATTGAAAGGAGCAGAAACAACCTCATTTTAGATCTTTCAGTAAGAGAAGATACATGATATGGATAAGTTCTAGGAAATATAACATGACCAAACTTTGTGGTGGTGCAAGAAACACTTGGTTCTGAAATCCCATTTACTACTGGCTTCAGTGGAGGTTAAGGCTTCATCACCAGCGCCTTGGACATACTGAGTGTACCTTCCAGTTCCCAGTTAATGTGATAGGGACCACAGAAACTTCTGCTATAAAGGGAAATGCTGCATTTAGGCCAGATTCATTAAGGAAGGAAGCAGAGGGCAGAATTAACACACAGTGTAAATCCAGGTGAGATCCCCATATTTTCAGTATGCTGTTTTCACCTGGTTTTCCCCTACTGTTTACAAAATCCTTGGCAGGCAGAGGGCAAAGAGAATGGTACCATATGCTGGTAAGAACGGATTGAAACCTGATTCAACCTTACCACTGACAAACCTTAGGAAACAACATTTTGTACCTGCAGACTTTCTTTTAGCTGTAGAAGCCATCCTGATTGTTTCTTCCACCCAGATAGTAAGCAGAGCAAGGACATTGAAGCTAATTCCTTTGGCTTTACTTGCTGCTGAGCAGCACTTCACTGCACGCACGGCTGCCTGAGAAAATAACAAATACCTCACAAGTGGGTGTTTTATCATAGTGATGATTAAACTATGTAAAATAAGCACAGAAAATCTATAATAAACTATATAAATAATATAAATAATAAATGAACTATATAATCTACAATAAATTATATAATTTCATATGAGCATAAGACATCATAGTATTTTATATTGCAAAGTAAATTGTACCTTTTATGCCCCAATATTATATTCACTTTGTTACAATATAATGATAAAATTACAAATAGTAAGACATTATAAATTTCTATAGGCCAAAGATGCTTTGCCTAGGACATGGTGTGACCTGTCAGTTGAACCTCATTTTGCCCCTTCCTCTGCACTAGACTGAACACCTATAACCTGGGAATATCACATCCCACTTATGTTGCTGACTCTGCCTTAGCAGTGCGATCAGCCCTGTATAAAATAAGCACAGCTTGGCCTAAAGAACTGAAAATCTATTCAGAAAATCTAGTCATAATACCATGGTAATTATAGTAATTTGCAAGTCTGTAGCATTCTTAATGCAATGCCCTCTGAGTAATTCATAAACAGCGATGAAATAAACTTCACAGCTTTCAAAGAGGTGGATTAATATTGTGATTTTCCACAGGGGTGAACAGAAAGTATCTGGTTTTATTTACATCAATTTAGTTTTGCAGTGTCTCCTCCAGTATTACCAGGGAAATGGGAATCTCGCTGTAAACCTGAGAAGATAAATAACGTGCTCATTGGCACAGCCAGGCTCTGGCAGAGATGAGGACAGAGGCTGGCAGAGAGGCAGAAAGCACTGATGTCTTTCCATGGATTTCTCCAAAGTTTTGTTAAATCACCCTTTAACAAAACATGTAGGCAGTGGTCTTGGGATTTGGTAAGTGCTCTAGAGATGAAGCATTTAGAAGGTAAATGGTGAGTTTGGTTAATGGGCTTCCATTAGGTTTTTTTATTGGAGCTAATTTGCCTTTTGTTATTTTCCTTTGGGAAGAACACCGGGTGTCAGGATAAGAGAGCCAGACCTCCAAAGCACTGCTGTTTCTTTGCAATGTATTTGTGAGTTCTGCACTCCTTCCCATCACCTGCACACACACCACTACATTTTGCACACTGGAGAGCTTTTTATTATCTCACAATTCCTTCTTAGTCCATCTAAAATCAGATCTAGCTTCTCTCATGCACTTACATCTCCAGTGTGTAACAGCATGTCTGTAACATCATTTAGGAAACTTAAGTTGCCATTTGCCTTACCTCAAAGCTCTCATTTATTGCAAAATCAAATCCCTTCCTGTTAGTAACTTGGTTTAAGTTGTTTGTTAGCTGCAATGAGGTTACAATCTCCAGCATGCAGAGCCTCTTCTGGGAAAATGTGAAGGGTTCTTAAGTGCTGTTCTCTCATCCTCTGCTGAGCTCCCTGGCTGGACTGAGAGATCTAAGGGGTTTCTTTTGTTTCTGTTTCTTCAGTGATTGCCTCCACGGTGCCAGAAGTAAACATGGTGTGGTCAGGAGTGGTGATCAGAAAGGGCTGGCTATTTTCTGGCCTCGCTCATCTGACATGGGGTTGATTACACACAAATTTCTACCTCTGACGCACAACTAAAGCTATAGACTTCCTCATCTCAACAGGCAATACCATGCTGTAGATGAGAATGACCCATTGCAAACTTATGCCCACTGCAGATCTCTGCATGGCATTTCTGCCTGTATTCTTTTGTGGGGTTTTGGTTTGGTGGTTTTTAGGGAAACCTTTGTGATTTTGCCTTTTAGGGAAAAACATCTGATGTACAAATTTACTGCTAGGGTTTTCATCTCTTTCCTCCCCCCCAAAAAAGGACAAAAAAGCGACTTCCAAACCTAATAACTACACACCAAGTCAGACTGTTAGTGTCAACAGTAGGGTTGCAATGAAAGACAATGTAATACTCTTTTCTACATGACCAACAGAGTCACTGTGACAGGCAAATGAAACAAGTCTTGCAAAACAATGTTCCAAGAGCCTATGATAGGAACAAAGTCTCTTCTAGGTCTCAGCAAAAGTCAAGATTTAAAGGGAGAGAGAAACCCACAAGGTTATAGCTGTGCTATCTCACTCTGCATTTTGGAAACGAGTTTTTAGTTGTTGCATTTAATTGTCTTCAATGGGAAGCAACACTTTAAACAGTTTTTGTCTAAATCAAAATAGACACCACCCATTCTATGACTATTCCCCCTCACATTTTTGTGTGCCTGGCATTAGGAGATTCCATCGCTTTCAACCTTTTGAAATGCAGTGAGGCACTTCAGTTAAAATGCAAATAAAATGCTTCAAATTATTAAGATGTAGGCTATTATAAAGCTTCCAAAATATAATACCAAGATAAGGAAAACAAACTGGTAATACTTACAGGTAAAATGCCTTTATGATGCAGAAGGTCTTAGAAGAACACACCTTTAAGCATTTCCAAATTCCTTGTATCACCTCCTGCAGCAAAGCACGGTGTGTCCTTGCCCTGCATTGTGACAGCCTTCTTATAGTCCATGTGCAAATACAAACACCCTGAAATTTGACCCACGGAAATTTCTGCCATTGCCATGGGAAGCAAATTAAAGGCTGTTCTGAAAGGGGAAACCCAAGAGATTAATATTCACTTAGAAGCAATGACAAAATACAGACATTTGAGGCAGCTATGAACATTGCCCATGCAGAAAAGAAGCCTGGAGACAGCACATATTTGTTGTTTCAGCTTTCTAAAGTCCCTTCATTTCCCCTGAGCTGTATCTAAAACATAGTACCCACTCATGATTGAAAGATAAAGCAACAGTAAGACCCTAAAAGATCATAAAGTACAATAGAATGTAACCAAGTTCAGATTTAAAGAACATCATTTACTGAAACAGAAAACAGTGAAGCTACTTCTTATGCTACTTACATAACTGCGAAGGCATGTTATGCTCGGTGCAAGATTAAGTGCTGGTAGGTCAGGATATTTCCTTTAAAGCATTTTCATCTTTTACTTTCTTCATGGCTTACCCACTGTAAAACTTATCTTAGAATCATAGAATCAGAATAGTTAGGGTTGGAAAGGACCTTAAGATCACCCAGTTCCAACCCTCCTGCTATGGGCAGGGATGCCTCACACTAAACCGTATCACCCAAAGCTTTGGTCAACCTGGCCCTGAACACCACCAGGGACTGAGTGTTCACAACCTCCCTGGGCAACCCATTCCAGTGCCTCACCACCTTTACAGTAAATAACTTCTTCCTTGTATTCAATCTAAACTTCCCCTGTTTAAGTTTTAACCCACTACCCCTTGTCCTATCACTACAGTCCCTAATGAAGAGTCCATCCCCAGTATCCCTATATCCCCCCTTCAGATACTGGAAGGCTGCTATGAGGTCTCCACGCAGCCTTCTGTTCTTGAAACATGTCAGATAACTTCTGCATTCCTGGCTGAGAAAGGCATTGGGATGTATTGTGCCTGGTTTCCACTTCACCAGAGCGAGTGACAAACATGCAGATATTAACAGGAAATTTTTTAAAAAGGCCTTTATTGATTTCATGCTCAAGACATCCATAAAACAATCACTGCTTTAATTCAAACAACTGTAGATTTGACTTAGGAAAATATAAATATGCCTCACTATGTCACAGTATTTGTAAGAAAATAAACTTAATCACTTGGTAACTTGGCTTTAATAATATGCACTTACTTTCAAAGAAGATTGCAAAGAGTACATTAACCAGGAAAAGGGAGAATAACTGATCATTTATCACTTTAACCATCATTAAACTTACTTTTTTGAGCTAGCTACCAACTTTAGAGAGTATGTAAAATGTAGGAATATCAACATCACCGACGTAGCCCCAAAAGACAAAATCAAGACCCTTAAAAGGCACTTCTAGTTTCTGCTTCAAGAAAGTATTTCTAGTGGTGGCAAAATTCTTCACAAATAGAAGCTATACCTGAATATCCGTTTGTTACTGGAACATATAATTCTATCATTTCAACATTAAATGTTAATGCTTTATATCAAATCTGTGGCATTAACTTTCTGTTGGTTCAAACCTTCTGAATCAACAAGCAGACATTTTTATTTCTGCAAGCAGAAACACTGCAGCACCACTGTTTCAGGCTGCTTTATCAGTTAACTGTGATTTGCAAGGCAAAAATCTTTACAATGGCACTTTCATAAGGCATCACCCAATTACAGACTGCCAATCATTTACAAGGAGTTTAATTCTGAATTTTCTATTATATTTTCATACTATTCAGGTAAATCATTGACAAAACCTCATTTTTTATTTATTCATTTATGCTAGAGTGATAACTAAATAAATTGACTTCCAGATTAAGCACAGAGCAACTATTAATCTTCATTAATAATGCTCATGTAAGGGAAATTAATATAACAGACTAAGAAGCATCCTTTTAAATAGCTACAAACTGTTTCATCACTGGACATAACCATAATATGATGGTCTTTGGAAATTTCCAAGCAAGTTATGGTTCCATGAGCTAGCAGTGAATGAAAAGATGGGAGTCTCACAATTTAATTTGTTTGTTCTTAATTCACAATCTGTTTTCTGGAATAAACCTTTATGGGTCAGGTAGCTTACTCTCAGAATGTCTTCAGTAGCCATAAATCATGACACCCATACTAAGGGAAATTAAGATACAGTCATTAGTATTAGCTGTCAGGTTGGCCCATAGCATTTATTTCTTCCTTAAAATCATGCATATTGTCCAGCCATCAGATACCTCAGCTTATACAATATAAAAATCTAGTGTAATTACATTTCTGTTATTAAAAACTGCTATTCCAGTTTATAATCAAATCTCCACCCAAAACCATATCCTGATTTTTCATCACTGGCTGCATTAAAATACACTTTCAGAAGTAAAGTTCCTTAGTGAGCATAGAGACCACACAGGGAATCTGCTTCTTCTCACTGAAGCGTGGATCATCAGACTGTGATTCAAAATTGGTGGCAACCACATAGTTGACCCGTGTGAGGATCTGCATGATCTCAAGTTGTTTTCCATGCTCATTTAGCACAGAGCACAGAGACTGCACAAACCAGGAGCCTCTTCCAGGATTCCTCCAGGAGTAATAACCTTACAGGAAAGACAGACAAGAAAGTACATGGGGTTATTTTTCCTCTTTTTTTTTTTCTTACTATATTGAAGATATGAAATGTCAGAGAATATCTGAAGAATGGAATGGCAGAGAATATGTCTAATTTGTATGAAAGACTGGGCAAAGAGTGATAATGCACACACAGAAAGATTAAATCCTATCACTTGTGTCATACATCCCACTTCATTAAACAGGAGAATAATGTGTATTAGCCCTCCTAACCTCATACTACTAAAGTACCGATCCATATTTTTGCATTTGGGAAACTGCCCTGCCCATGGCAAGGGAGTTGGAAGTAGGTGATCTTAAGGTCCTTTCCCAACCCAAACCATCCTATGGTTCTATGCTTTTCCTCTCCAAGTTTCATGCTGTAACTATTTCTCTTCCTGCCTCAATCAAGTATTCAACACACTCACTAAACTGGGACATGGAAGGGCATGATTCCCAAAAAATTGTATTGTCTCCTCCACTTGGAATGTCTGCATCTTCTCACCTCAGATTGGGGCTTTCTCCTGTTTCCATGACAGCTAGTGTAAAAGGAAGGGCATACAACACAGTGGCCTAACATACAGTAGGCCTTAATGTTTTGTCCATCGATGTACAATATGTTATGAATGAAGGTCAGTTCAGCATCAAATCAATATGAGTGATGAGTTGTTAGGCTTCTACTCCCACCCTGACCTGCTTTTCTTTACCTGGCACTGTGGAATATGCAAATAGAAAATCTGCTTCTACTGGAATTTTGTATCTTGGATTGGCATCTGTCTCCAGAGTGTCATTTGCAGGTCCAGAGTCAGTTTGTATGCCTTCATCAAATTCAGAGCCTCTGCATGCCTGAAAGCAGTGAAGGCAAAGAGAACTTGTCCAATAAGGTGAAACAAGGTGTTATAAAACTGAGTATTCATTAACATTTTTTAATGTCTACGGTTTTAAACAGCACTTTGCATGTACTAGAAGGAGAAATTAAATTCCATGGGACGTCTCATTGTCCAGTGATAAAATTACTAGCCTGCCCATTTTAAAATATACATCCCTGAAGGGAGGGAATAGCGTTGCAGGCTCTGGATTTCAGTGGATTGTCAAAGTGCCAAGTCAGCATTAGTTTACTATATAAGATTATTATATATAATAGTCAGCAATTAACAAGTGTAATTAGCAAGTAATTAACATATGCAATGTATAACCACATTCTGTACTCAGCTGTTTGCACAGGAGGCAGTTTTGCAGCTCATGTATTACCAAGCACAAAGAGACACCACGTACAAAATTACAGCTACAATATATTCTTTACATCTGTGAATGCTGTATATAAATTATCTCTTAAAAACAAACCAATCTCCCAACTTCTATCAACACAGTTTTTCACGAATCCACCACTACAATTCAGTAAGTTAACACATATTGCAGGAGCAAACAACCAACATAGCATGTTTTCCCCACTGCAGCAGTAGGATACTGTATTTACCTTAGGGCTATTACCTGAATGAAGAATAATTTGGGTTTGCCTATAAGGCTTTTACACTTGTCTCCTCTGAATAGTGCAGTCAAACTCTTGATAGCCATGGGTCCATCAGTGCCATAGATGAGGCCTTCTTCTCCATGGCTCAGAAGGATACAGGCAAAACAAGCGGCATCACTGTGATTCTCCTCAGCAGCTACAAATCAAATACTTCTTAGCCAAAAGGAAGCAGCAGTCTAAATAAAAATTATATTTAGCAAACACATTTCTCTGAGACTAAATATACACTGGGCCTCTACTGGAAGGCACAAGAGGGAATGGATAAAGATGACACATACCACTTTTTAGTACTGTGATGTGTATCTTGAATACATAAATGCATCCTTCACTTGACTCCAAGTCTAGCCCACTGGAGTCAACAGGCTGGACTCTATCTATTACAAGGCTCTTCACTTAATACAAAGGACAGATGCTTCAGATTCCTAATATAACAAGAAAACTGCATTTCTGAATTGATGTTGGAAGAAGACGTGGGGAATTAAGTCTAATCCATTCAGAAACCAAATCCTTCTATACAGAAAATAGCATGTAACAGGGCTCAAGCTGTTCTGACTTGAGCAGGGGGTAGACTTGGTGACTTCCAAAGGTCTTTTCCACTCTAAATTATTCTATGATTCTAATTTTTTACCTTGCTTCAGTAATTTTTCCATATCACCCCGGCTTCGGTCATTGTATGTGCAAACCTCAAACCCCAAGTTCTGAAAACTCTTAGCTAAATCTCCAGCATCTTTATCAGTGCCATTGCGTGTGCCCATTCCTGCCAGGAAACAAAGAATATGGTTGACTGCACATTACACAATTCAAAATTAATCACATGCTCAAAGGTACACTTTTAGGTTTATGCTTAATAAAACTAACCAGTGTCGTGGTGACATGATTTTAAAACAATCCTTTTAACAACATTCTCA